ATAAGTGGTGCGTATGCAGCTATTTTACCCGAGAATATATTAGTTTTCTGCATGAACTACAGTAAATACAGATTTCGTAAAACATGTTACATTATACATGCAACCTGTTATTGGTATCATATATGTCAATTACGTATATTAATTCAAAATAACAACAAATACTTCATCTTTATCCCCCTTTTTTAATTTGTTGTGATGGTGGGGCAATATATGGGTAATATATGAAAGATTAGAAAAAAATACTGTGACCAAAAGAAGAACGGCTATTGTTTGGAAACGCCTTCATATTATCGTTAACAATAGCGGAAACCACAAGGGAATTTGTGTCTTTATTCAATACGACGTCACACCATGTAGGATCAACAATTACGTTCATCATTATACAAAAAGGCTCAAAAGCAAATAGCACATTTCGATGCAAATTTAGAATTAGTTAATGCATAGCCAAATAATGAATTATATACATTTATGTAATCTGTATTCCGATATTTTTTTATGAAAACAAATTGCATTATAGGCGTGGTCTCATGATCATGAGATATATGAAATACAGTGTACCGATTTTTGTCTAATACTGTTGTTCTTATGGACTCCGTCTTGTTTTCATTCACATGCAAACTGTTTAAAGAAGGATGAAGAATTGTAAGGTTAAGGAAAAGGTGAAGACACACCTATCATTAATAAATCCGAATGAGCTGTTCCAAATATGAGCAAAGAATCAATTTATGATGAAGATTAATCAAAGAGAAACAAGGTCGAAACAAGTCGAGTCATGAATAATTTTTGTTATAAAAAAAGTTAAATATCCTTATTTTTTGATGCTGTAATGTAATTACATGGTACAACACTATCAATATATACGGCCTTCACAATACTACTACCTTTACAAAACAACATATAGTATTGCTTGGTTTATCACAAACGCAATGCGTAAAACAAATCAATATATCTGTCACTTATTTAGCATGTGTTCTTTATTTCAAACTCATACCTCATAAATAATGAATCAAAAATGACTTCACATTAGAAAAAATATGAAAAAGGTTTAAGAGTTTTTTATCATTAAATATTATAGCAGAGCATGATAATTCTTATCACATAACCCAAATTGGTTTTGAAAATCAAAATGTAGAGGAGAAAACTTAACGGAAGCATTCATTTTGTTTTACCATATTTATTCATGATGTAACGTCGTTTCTATATCATATCACATTTGATTTCGATTCAGTTGTTGAGCTTGCAATATTGACGTATTGAATAAACAAATGTTTACTGGGACCGCATAAAAAGATTATCATGGACATTTAAAGAAACACAACACATTGGTTAATTCCAATTTAGTGGAAATATCTTCATTAACATACATCTCGCAGCTCACTGTGCGTACATTGTCTCGTTCATATCTATGTTCATGTTATTTGTTTGACATGGCATACACAGGAGCGTCTGTGATAAATATATCTTATAATACAAATAGTGTAGCAGTCGTAAGCTTGCTTTAATAGATAGTATATTAAACTATTAAACATTCTCATGAATCAAGACATCATGCTTTCATTAAGCTATAAACTTGATGCCGTTTATACCTGCAGAGTAATCACAGGACCAGTAGTTTTAGCATGTATTTTATCTCTTTGTGTAAACCGATGTTAATACTAGGTTGAACTACGGTTACCAAACTTAATCTTACTCTCATTTTCAGCACTATAAAAGCATATATGTTTTGTAATATGGAACACTGATATCAAGAATAAAATACCAAAGAATAAATTGGAGTATCACAATATCGGACAAAATATATTGCTTCTCGATATGTGTTTGCTATTACATGTACACGAGGAAGTAATTTAATTGATTACTGCTTTCAATCAGAAATTAGCTTCTGTCCATATTGTCTTGGCATGCCCGCTGGCTCCGACGTACCTTTCCACAGTTCTTGTTGCTAGCGAGGCGTCACATTAACTTGTAACTCTAAGATCACGCTCCACACAGCCCAACTTACAGTACTTTATTACAGTACCGTGATGAGAGTAGACGTCGTGGGTAGTGTATTGTAGCCATATCGACCCTAATATGACACTGTGTACTTTCTTTATCTCAACGTTAAAAATATCAAAAATTGGCATTTCAATCGTTTCTAGTCTACTGGTTGTCACGTGAGCTGCTAGATGGTTTACACCTTGTTTGTATATTATCTATTGTGTCGTTGGTGAATGGACACAATGATCAGTGACTTGCCATTATTGCGCGCTCTGGTATTCGCTGACTGTGGTAATTGAAGCAGGGATGTGCTGGTTACAATGTTTCCGCGGCAAATCCTACCAACACTGTAGAATATGACGGAGCCATGTCGGTAAGTACAAAGTGATATGTATATCAAACATTTCAGATATTGATAAATATGTACTGATAATTCGATTTACAATAGGTGGATATGAACAATCAAAATTAATTCACATAGAAAATATATTGTATTAAGTCAAACTGATAACACTCTGAACTGATAATATTGTACACTATTACTTAACGAAATGCATCTACTTGAATGGAGTTCATCATAATAACCTTCCAGTCATATTACACTTATTTTATGGTATATTTCTGTTAAATAATTCGTTATCGTAAATTTCATGATAATATACAGTTGGTATCTGTGCAGCTTGCAGTGTTGTTATAGTAAAGTTGTTATTGAATGTGTAAGCAATGCGTCTGAGATCTATTTTTAATCTGATTATTGCAAAACATCTATATTTCTTGATAAAAATGAATACTCCAATTGCAAAGTATTCATACTTTTTCCCATAATGAAATTCTGATGAAATTCTTTTTTCGAATAGCCTTCAAACATTGGTAGGCCTCTTGCAATACCCACAAACAGTGGTGCTGAACCAGTCATGCTTACTGACTTGTGGTTATACTGTGTTACCGGTATGGAAACACACACGTTTGAATAACTGATTGGTTTCAAAAGTAAGATGAAGACAATTAAATATGAATAATATATCGCCCTGCCAGACACAAACATTGTCTTCCGTCGACATTTGATTATGAACTTTTCCATCTTTATCGTTTACGGTTGATATCACAGCTGATTGCTTCCAAGTCAATATTCATTTGCATATTTAAGAAAAAATACCTTTCCGTTACCTATGGGTATTTTAAAAATATCATCGTTATTTGTTTGGAGTTTTACGTCTTCACAACAAGCCTGATCATATTAAGATGGTGTCCATGGATTATAGAGTCTCCTTAGGGTGATTTGACAGTGGCACAAAACATTAGTTCAATATGGAGTATGACGTCACTACAGGTTGGGAGTCAGAATAATACTTGCTGTCCACACTGCATGATTATCTATTCAAAGAATGATTTTATCCCTAAAATCTGCCTTGACACTTCCATACCTTCAGCCTGTACTTGAGCGTCCGTCCCTGTGAAGTAGGCTTTAGATTAATGTCCCCTGGCCAATACACAGGAGTCGTCACTACTCCCGGCGTGTATTTAGTTTGTATTCATGACTATAAAAACGCACAATTTTCACATCCTCTCTTCGCAAATAATACATATTATCAAATGTACTGAACGGGTGTCTTTTGTCAGTTGACCGGCAAAGTCTAATAGCAAGTATTGCAAAGTAGAATGAAGATGATTGATTGATGAACGTTCCTGTTTTTAACAAAAGTCATTCTAGTCGTGGTACCTATGACTGAGTTGATAAATGTGGAATTTTGCTGTGTTATTGACCTTATTCGGCCTTGTTACTTAATGTTATGTACAAATATCATTTTGAGTAACGTGACAAGGAATTATCGTGATTAAGGAATCTAACTGGGGTGTGTACAGTGAGTAATATATAAACATTAATGGAGTTGCGTTTGCTTTCATTATAATCTCTTCTTTTAATTCTCCAGATATACTTATTTGGAAAATTTGAAGAGTTTTGTACACTAGCAAGCATGTTGCTAAGTCTAACTTCATTGTTTAACTCTCTACTGTATGTAACTATCAAGTTGTACATGTGCTTTTTGTAAAATATTCAACATGTTTTATACATTTCACACTTTTCGGGTTGAATGGGAGGACCTCTGTTCGAGTATGATGATTGCATAGTGTTGCAAAGAAATAATCGTTATTCGAAGGTTGCGATCTCCTTCCAATTTATCCACAAGGAAGAGAATGTTTATTTTTTCTTAACCTTCTTTTGTGTCTGATTTTGTAATATCTCAATGATTGTACAAGAGACGCACAACTGAATCAGATATATTAAAGTTAAATTAAATTTTGAAACCCGGAAGCCTTCCTTGGTATTGTAAACGCAACGCTATTGTTATGCAAAGGAATGGCCTTATTGCAAAACCTGGATGAGACAAGCAAAGTTCCATCTATGAAAAAAGAAATTATCTGTTCAAAATAAGAGAGAAATCTGTCTTTGCCGATCACTATCCTGTATCTCTATTTTTAAAAATATTACAACTTAAAATAAGATTAAATCAGAGCTATGAGTCTGTTACATACTTCTGTTTCTATGATAAGGATGATCACTTAATCGTCCTTGTCAGTTTTGAGTATTTGATGTGTACTACTTGAAGGTTTTGCATTAGTTTTGATTAACTAGAATGAAAATAGAACTATAAATCCATTCGTTAAATATTCGCATTGTTCAGCGAGTAAAATATCCAAACAAATCCCATTCTCATATCATATTGTTGGTTAGATTTATTTCAAATGTGCATTGAATGATAAACAAAATTCGTAGCCATGGTCAAAGGACAGCTCTATGTTGGCATAAAAATGATTTGTTCTACATATATATTTTTTGCATATGAACAATAGAACAGCTAGTGATGTGAACAGGGGTATACATTTCATCAATGCAAATGAACTACATTTTCTGTTCTATTCAATCACACAAGCACCATGTTGAGATGTACGTTATATTAAGAAATAACTATAAAATGTCAGTCCATTTATTACAGGACTGGAAAATTAGAAATAGATCTATGGCGACAATAAACAACAAGATAGAAGACGGAACAATTCAATCAAGAGACACCGATGAAGTATTACGTACGCTTCTAAAGGATGTGACGTCACACCTTCCAGCATGTGACAGGAGAAGAGTTATTCTCGTTGGAAACACGGCAAGGTACCACAATTCTCCGACATCGCTTTCTATTTTCATGTATTGGTATTTCCATATAAGGCAAATATCGATTTTTGAAAATTTAATTAAACATAACGTGTCCAACATCGATTAATTTTATTTAAATAATGACAGAGGATATACATTTGATGACGTCAAAGGTTGCACGCCGTGATATCCTGTCGTGTTTGACATGCTATAGTACTTTTCACCCTCAGGCGGTACTATGGGTTGCAAACTCGAAGGAAAATCGATAATTAACAACATTTTATATCATTTCTCCGAGATTTCAGTATATTTTGCACATTAAGCGAGATATTTTAATCTTTCGCATGTTTCTTACGAGTTAACACGTAGATATTTGGTTCTATAAAGAATAGGTCTTACGTGATTTTAGGTTTAAATAAACGAAAAAAAAAAATCAACATTATATTAGAATTACACAATATCTTCATTGAAAGTCACGGTAACTGATTACATCTTCGTATTCTATAAACGTTAGTTGGGGGTATTAAGAATTACGGGATATCATGTATTTCGTATGTATTATGTACATTACAATACACGAATGATGTTATGCGGGACAAAACAATTGACAAAAATTACTATACGTAATGAGGAAAATCTGGCACTTTCACACTGATAGTCAATGGAATTGAAACCTGAAATATTCGGTTGTCAGTATCATTCAGTCAATATCCTGTCCGTTACAGTATTCAACGTATTTATCTTAAGCAATAATTAACAATCAAAATAGTGCTCATCAAAATAGCTCCATATTAATGATTTTTTACACCGATATTGACCTGCTTTTGAAAGGCCGTTTACCATGGTAACTGCTTATCAAGCAGTTTTTGGATCGGTATATTGTTCCGTAACTGCAATGACATTGCAAGTCACAGTTCGAGATCCAGAGAGAATTCTTTTTAATTCATCGTCTTCCTTGATCTTTTATGATATAATTTTGTTAAACGTGAGATTTATTCATTACAAGGCACAAATTAGCTTCGTTTATGACATCGAATGAGTTATTTATTCTGTTAGATAGGCAATGCACTGGAGAGTGTGCGTGAATAAAAGCACTAAAAATAGATCTCCGTTGTTAACGAGGTGTCGGTAATCCCGTTACTTGCAATTAAGGTGCAAAAACCTAATTTCAAACATAATTCCTATAGCATGAAATTAGCAACAATGACTCTAAACCTTCTGTACTGTCAGTGGAACTCTACAAGTTTATGTTTTAGTAATATCTTTTTACACTTAGTAATTGTTAACCTATTTACAGACTTTGCGCCTCCGAGGTAGCGGTGAGGGCCGCACAAGTCATCACTATTGATCTAGGAAAGCAAGGTAATCACAAAAACGTTACACGATTAGGAAATTTCCCACCTGTCCTCGAAGAAGACTCAACGAAAAATCTGCTTGCTGAAAACAGGTATGAATATCAATAATAAGAATGCATATGCATGATTTTGGAAGGCAAACAAAAAACGAATGTTACCGTGGAACCATTAAATGCGATGAGTTTTAATTATCTAACTAATATTTAGCCACAGAAAAGATATTAAAACGCGTTTGCTTCCTTCAACTTTTCATATTCTGTTTACAATCCGCAATCGATTCAATGGTAAGCAGATTGTTTCCGAACATTACGATTTCTTTGTAGTCACTGCTCCTTTTTCATTTTGGGAATGCAACAATTCTTTGAATTGACTGTGTATTGCAAGGCTCATCATTGAAGGCAGAGACAATCATCTCCAGGGATTTTTTAAAAAAAAATTTCTTGTTGTTTTCCAAGAACATTTCTTTAATTTATAATTTTCTATATTTAGAATTAGGATTTTGTTATCATGTACCTTGACACTGATGTGTGCTTTCAACGTAGGAGATGCATTCGGAGTTTTCCAAAGAAAAAATAGGATATGAAATACGTATCGAAAGACTTAAAACAGAGGTTTTCGGTGAATTGCTTTACCAGTACATACAACTAAAACTGTAAAATAAGTGGAACAGAGATAGAAAGCATCGTGATGGGCAATGTATTTGAAGTTATATGTCGGATCTTTAACTTGCCGAGTACAAGTTCAGTTGTATTTCAATACCTGTAGTGATGCTTCTTATCACACAACTCCTATTTTAAACACCAACAAACTTAAATCATCATTGTTGTTTCCTTAGATTACATCCAGAAAAATAGATATTAGCTCATTCATGGTTGCTTTGGTCCAGGCACCACAATGCATTTTGTAATGAACTACATTCACATTTATCCTTTTGCCGAATTTACGAATTCGTCCCGAAAAAGTACACAATATCGGCTAGTTTTGTTTGAACTTGACGAAAGCACCGATGCGGGTACTCTGGATAAAAAATAAATCATACCAGCATGTTTCAGCGTGCCAGCGTCTTGATTAAATTCGATAGATGTTCTCCATCTGTCAGGTGTAATTTATAACGATTGGATGTTTTCTCCAATTATTTTGGTATAAAAACTGTGAAATATGACTGCGCATCTGGATTACAGTCCAACTGCTATGTCGATAGCTGGCTCACTCAAGTGATGACAGCGAGTCGTCCGTTCATATAGATTTACTAGGGGATTTTATTACTTGTAATTAGGCATGCCTTTGCTACTTTATATAGACATATTTATTTTTGTAAAGTTTCATGATGATTAGAATGTCCAAAAGTCAGAATAATGCATTTTTATTTATTATGTACTAAAACTTACATTGTTAAAGCTGCGAGGTAGTATAATTCAATAATATTCAATCATGTAGCAAATTCGGCGAAGTAATAATATCATTAATCATTTTTGAAATGAAAAGAAATAACTTTAAAAGAGCCATAATTTTTGCAAGGTGAAATAATAGCATTTCAATTTAATAAGGTAATTCAGAGCATGATGAATCTGTCTGCACTGTAATTACATCTTTAGTATATAAAACCACTGCATGAAGTTAATAACCTCCGTACTGTTACCAGTGGGTTCGATTATCTGCAAAGCGTTTTCACCTGCGAGTGTCACACACATGCATGACAAAAACATATAACAAAACAACACAGAAAACGATGATGTCATGATATGTGTAGCATTGAGGATTTATTAGCAATAAGTGAGGCGTAAGTTTTTACGTTATACCTACGTATCACAAATTCATGCACTAAACCATGACAGCCTATTTGCAGCTGGTGATTATCAGTTTGCCCTGAGGGAATCGACGTGTTTATTATTGTCGGGGTTGGTTAAAAGTTAATATAAAGAAAAACAATATACATTTCTGTCTCTACATATAAATCAGTCACTTTCTCTTATGTAATTGATTATTTTTTGTTTAGTCAATTCCTTAATTGCCATTTTAACTTCTCTGGTAAAGTAATTAAATGGAACTTTGATAAAACTTAGTTACATTGATTAATTGCATGAGTGTTGGGTAATTTTAAGATAAAGTAAAACGTGATAAGTAAGAAAATGGATTTTATTACACTTTATAGACACAGAATAATATCCATACATGAAAAATCCAATGCGTTACTTTATACCAGAGGTACTTAAACTAAGTGGTAAACGTATACACATGACGAACAGATATGTATTTTAAAGGGAGCCACTTTTTTCAGTAAGCTCTAGCTTGGTATTCATCAATAAGTATTTCTATACTATTGTATTAGTAGATTGTCCTCTTCTATACTAATGTTAATAGCTCCCCGAAAATTAAAATTCATTTCAATAGACAAAGCATGCTTGTAAACGTGTTCAAATTATTGTAAGTACATCTAAAGAAATGGTTACAATTACGTGTGTGTTGTAGTGACGATTATGTTCAGACATTTATTGACTGAGTGTTATATGGAATAAGGTTTACCGTGTAACGCTATAAGATCGCTACGATGTCTCCAATATAATACTTTGGATATAACTTGCCTCGTATCCATATACAGTTTCTCACGAACATTATTTACCCTGTACTTCACTGACTATTTGACTTCTTTGGTTGGGTAATAATTCATATAATTGTTATCATTTTTCGCTAACATAGTCGTATTTTGGTTTTTAATCCAAGTCAACAGACACCGCTGATATTGTTATAATTATGATAACTTATGACCTGAATGTTGTGGATAAAGACTAACAAAAATAAGAAAAAGACACATGCTAATTTCATTTTTCAGTATTCTAATGCGTTGATCTTATTAAGTACGGCTTAAGGATATGTTTGGTGTCTTTGATCTGTAATTGTCATCAACTTAAGGACAACTTCGTAACACTAGGTTTCAAAAGATGCAGGTTGATGAAAATTATGGGAAAGTTTTATGGTCATCATAGTGTTCTAATTGAGAAATATTCTATATATTTGTGCGATACGAAGCTGGACGTGTTAGTTGCACGTTGTTGCCGGTTGGTTCTGTTGTTGTACATTCACATTTGTTCATACTTTCTTCTTGTTTCTTTTTAATTTGAGTTTGGATGAGATTATGTTGACATGTTGGTACTTTCTTGATGTTTTTGTATTGCAAATGAAATACTTACATTATGTTATTACAGTAATCGAACGACAGAGCGGTAATTGATCTTGTCGGTGATATTGGTAAAACGTATTAGTATTTACCTAATTAATTAATCATTGTTGTACATTACAGAAGGTCATTGATCTTCAAAGAGCTTAACGGTCTAATAGACTTAAGGTCAGACCGATGGGTTCAGTCTCTCAGATTGTGTCACGCAACATAGACAAATCCTTCAGCACACGAACTGCATACCATCTTATGAAATTTATTTGTACTATGTATTAAAGCATTTCTATAATATCTAAGGTTGATACACAGTTATACCTCAATGTCAAGACTAGATGTTGACTCATCATATTGCCAACTCAATGTTCAACCGACAGCACTTGGTTTGACACATAACTTATTTGACGACGCCTGGACTCGGTTGCTCAAAGGTTAGTTAGGATTAAACAATGTTTATTAAAAATTAAATTGTTTTACTAAACAATTATATTAAAAGCAAAAGTATTACTAAAATTAAATCAATATAAATTAATCAGGGCGGTCTTAACAAATCTGCAGCTGTGTAATGATAAAAAAAAATGTTTCCATTTTTTGTTTCACTAATGTTTCAAATTTGTTTTAAAAAACAATAGTTATTTCTTACCAATCTTTGAACAACTTGGTACTTATTGTGACTCATGAATTTACTGACGAAATTTTCAGAATGGGTTTCAACAACGACAGCTGATTTTAACAGCGGGCTTCACCGACGGAACTTAGTTTTGAGATATATTGTCAGTTGAAAACATTAAGAAATGGCTTCAGTGTAGATGCACGATTTTAACATGTGACTTCACCAAAGACAATTGGATTTACTTGCACTTACTGTATATGTAATTTGTATGTACAAAGTACTGCTGGTAGACGGGTACGATTTATAAGCTCATTATCTGTTGGTGTGGGTCATGTGTCATTAGATGCCTGCAGTAAGTACATGACACGTGTATCGTGTAGATGATATACACAGAATACAAGTGTAACCTCTGTGTTTAATTTACAGCTTTAACATCTGTAGAGAATACCATTCATGTTGTCCGTGGAGGCTAAATTATTGTGTTAGTACGATCTGTTTAGCAAGGTGTGTGGGTGTTGTCACTGTACCCAGCCATAACGGAAGACAATTCCAGCTTGTGTTTCTATCAAAATCGCTTCCGTTCGGTCTTCAAGACAAATTAGGAAATTATCTCATTATAACCAGTATTTGATGAATTTGTGATTATATCTTGTAATTGTATTGTGGACACAATGGAATGGTATATGACATGTAGTGTGATAAACTAGATCGTCTGACTATCGAATCCTACCACCAACATTAATTAATGGTACCAATAGCCTTATGTTTAATCCGTTAATCAACTCTCGTGTAAATAAAGCAAATGCAATTATCATTATTATAGTGAGCCGTATAACAAGATAAAAGTGCATCATCACACAAAGGAACACATTAACACTATTGTCTGTTATCGTGATATAGATATTCCTTGATTCTAATCAGTATTAACATGATCATACTTCACAACACATAGTTCATACGGTTAAGGATTAATTTGTGCCGTCTATATGGAGAAGGCCTCCCTTTATAATACTAGCCTAACTTAAGCTGTTTTCGACAATGTGTACCAGGCTATTGTGATATTAAAATTTTCATCACACATCTACTCAGTTGATCATATTCACATTGAAATCAACACTTTTTTTTAAAATATTGGCCCCAGGATACTATTTTTAGAAAATTAATCATATCTTTCTGACGTCACCTCAATTATTGATTTCTTAGTTATTCCTGTAAAATGAAGAAAAATGAATAATAAAGAATAATTTTGTGATGCTGTCACTGGTTAAATGATTAAAATTTCATATATCTATCAATATACGCCTATTAAGGTCTATGTACTACTACTGATTAGCAATGTTTGTTTTTATTGGTTAAAAACGAACTTATAACGCAGATGAAGCAGAAGACGCTTACTCTTCTGGAACACCTTATTTCATTCTCCTTGTACATTATAGGAGTATCCCTGTAAATCTTTCTTTTAATCATAATTTGCTCTTGCTTTACGGCATTTGAGTTTTGATTACGATTATGTTGACATATTGGTATATTCTTGATGTTTTCTGTTTTTTCTAAGAATTGAAATGTAACGATTAGAAAAATAAACACATCAAACATTTTCTTATAATAAGATTAAGAAATTTAATTATTTGAAATGCAATTCATAGCTTGTTTTGTAATTCGATGTCCAAATTGTTCGTTAATATGTCTGTGCAGATAAATCTAAAGTGTTCCAACAGTGATAGATGTAAGTCACAGTGTTCAGTAACAATAATAGGAAGTCTAAATCCGTTTAATAGTCAATATTTTAAACTTTTGTCTAATTTTTGAGAAAACAACATAATGTTAAGTATCGATTGTGAATAGGCACCTGCTGTTACCCAAGGTAAAAGATCGCTAAACCCTTAACAGTCATGCAAGTTTGTCTCACTATACTCTGGTTCATGGAAACGACCAGGATCTGCTTTACTAATTTGGAGTTTGGGGATATTTTAAGTTTTATGATTTCCGACTATGTTTTTGTTTCCCAAATACGTCATTGACAGTGCTGCTATTATGGCCTTGGTATTGTGCGTTCGTACAAATAAAGTAATGAATGCTATGGGTTCTGCAGGAAGTAAATAACTCGTACATATTTCCATGTGATTGACATTCTTTTTAAATGGGTGACAGTAAGGACTTTTATACTCTTAACCTTGACAGGCGTATCCACGTATCAACGATGTGAGATTTCCTTGTTTCGCCCGAGGGTTGCGACTGGGGGATTACCCTTTATTAAGTAAAGAATAGATAACAATAATTTATAAGGAGCCCAGCAGACTACGAGAAAAATAATCATGCACCCCATTTTTGTTGAGATAGGTTGTTTTGAGCCCACGGGAAAAATGATTGAATTATTGGCGAGCCGATATCATGTCATCTTTGGATAATATCGGCGTTTGTAGTGACATAAAAGTATATCATTTTATAAATTTTATATTTAGTATTTTAAACACGATATTGGGATTCCCATAAGTCAGCTTTAATATGGTTTGCATTCACAGGAGTGTAACTACATTCTAGATTAGAAGACAATAATATGAAGTCATTTGGCACCGTGTTGACCCCCATTTCGTCAACGCGTTGCAAGTCGCCTCAGATAACACATTGCATCTTTACGGGAAACATTCAAATGCTTACCATTGTCAGGAATCCTTTCCAGTAACTAAATATACAATGTCGAAGCCTTTATGATGTAAAGCGATAGGTTCGTATTTTAAGATAATACTGTAAATATAAACATGTAATTTTGCAAAGTCGTGTTAGCAAAAATGCATTTATATTGACAATATAAACAACATGACAACCGGTCAATTTTTAAACAGTGTTAATTTCTTTTCTTCAGTGGAGACCTGCTTATTTATGATCACCGTATAAGCCTTTCCAACGAAGATCAGCTAAAGTCTCTGAAACATTCATTGTCACTGGTTCGAGAAAATGCATACGTTTGCTTTTTACAGACCATCACCTCAGGGAAAGGTATTATGGACATAACGTCACTTCTTAAACTTTACGATCTTTATCCGTCAGTCTACATATCCCTGTCTACACTTTGATCAACTAACATCCTGAACCGGACAAAAAAATCTAGTCTGGGTGCGTCTTACAACTTACAACGTACAAGCATTCATTACAAGATAATATGTACTTAATGTTTAACTGGGTTATAAACTGTTGCCTGGCAGCATTTAGAGTAGTTAAACAAAAAAATTAAAGTTTCTTTTTCTAGATTTGCACTCACTCTTGAATTGCGATGGTATTGTTGAATAACCTTTTATCGTATTTGTCACCAGAGAACAATGAACAACAGGGCATGGACGATCTGTGGAGAATTACATCTATTACTAGTCCTGGAAGTCAGCCAGACGAAGGGTTCGGTCTGGAGGTAGTCCTTATTAGACCTATCACCAGGACATACACAGTATGTATCATAACAGAATTTAGAATAAAAGACAACAATGGATACATACCTTTAGCCGAAAGATTTGTCCTGTTGCACCTTACCATATGATAAACAAAACTTTGCAGTTGTATAGTATTTATTCGTTTAATGTTGAATGCCAAGAATCAGACAAAAGAGCAGAGCAATGAAGTATTCTTGTGAGTAGGTATTAATTGTTGTGTCATTTCTTTGTGACAATGGTGTCATAACAAGTTGTGAGAAAACGACTTAGTTTTCCCGCGCAAACAAATGACGAAACAATGGCTGCTAGTAAAGACGTTTGCATAAAGACAGGCCAGAATTAGAGTAATTTGGTAATAGACACAAAACACAGCATATTAAATGTAAGGAGATTTATCAATGATAATAATTAGAATTGAAATTCAGTCATTATTTTTAGAGACATTTCATGGAAGTCTAGAAGATACATTGTAGCATTTCTAAAACTAAGGATTAGATTTATGGTGAAATATTTGTTTTCTACCAAAGTAATAGACTCCAGGAAAATTATTCAACATGGAATATCCTCAACGGTTCCAGATAAAGGTTCTATTGGTATGTTTGTATCTAGCCAACCTGTATTCAAAGACATTTTGCATTCCTGATGAGTCCTATGTTACTCATAATTTTGAAGTATAACAAGGTGTCCATCACAGGTATTCTCCTTGTAAAAAGAATATTGGAAATAACAAAGTCCAATATAAAGCAAAACTCATAAAAATGTATTGTAGTTTTCAAATATCTTAAAAATTACAGTGATATGAATTGAGTTTTCATTTACACATTTGACGCATTTTTATTTAAGCCACAACGAGAAAATGAAGCAGACAGAAAAATGGTTTGGCTATTTCAAAAGGTTAAAAGGAAGCTGAATAAGGACATGACATTTACAACATTGCATGAAATACTCAATAATCAGCTGTATACTAAGACAAGGATACGCCAACTGGAAAGTATATTTGGAAGGACATTTGTTAGCGCCGGTGGACTGACTGCAACAAAGGTAGATATAGAACATTTCTGTATACAATGTATCTCCTAGCCAATACAGCGATAAACAAGGGAACTATCAGTCACTGACTTATTATTTTTGCAACAATGCTGATATGCTCACCTACAGTATTCATTTTCCAAATTGCACGTCAGAGACCAACTCTATCAAGCTAGTACGTGAAAGCTGTATATTGTCAATTTGCAAAATATCATTGGCGATCGAATCAACACCCATGGAAAACAAAAGTGCATGGATATAGTTCATTTACTAAGAGAGAGGAGGAGGGGTATTAAAAATATTAAGAATCATCAATCAATAGTGCATTTTTTGGAACAAAAATGATTTAGACTGAACAATTAATATTTCGACCTCTAAACGATATTGAATTAACTCTAATATCACAAACTTTTTGTGTATTTTTGTCTTTAATTTGAGACCACAATATAAGTTCCAGGTACCTGTTGATTTCCTTACAGCGCTTTTATATTAAAATAAATAAATACCCCAATAGGATATTACATTTTTTCCATTTCTTAAAAAGGAGTCTTAAGATGTCTTTATTTTAAGACATGCTAGAAAAAATTAACGAGTTGGATATTATAACTCACAGGAAATTAAAACGAAAGTTTTATAATATTATTTTTCATTATTACTTATGACTGAAAACAAGCTTCTCCATGCCATTTGTTTGAGGAATCTCTACTTAATAACTTTCTTTTTACTAGCTATTTATGATAACACCATCATGCATTAGCTCAAGAGGTTGACATTTGTCATTTGGCTGTCATCATATAATGCCCCACTGGCCATACTGCATACACAAAAATACTATATTGGTGTATTGATAATATGACAATCACGTGATAAAAGTTCATATATTTAGAAAATTATGAATGACAAAATAATTTCAAACATACACTTGAATACTTATACATTTACTACTATTTACGCAAACTTCATAGTTTTCATGGTTTTGTTTTAAATCAAAATGATTTTTCAAACATTCCTGACATTTGCAAATCACGGAATACTTTTCCATACACTTTCCCATATAATAATAGAGGGAATCTGACATCCAAATATATGATCGTGATCAACTATTGTTAATGAATAAAGGAATATTGCTGTTAGCTGGTATTGCACATATAAAGATATTTTCATCGCGATTGCACAGCATCATTAACATATATATCTGTTATAAGTATGTCAATATATGAAACGTTAAACCTTTTGCTGTCCTTGCATGTAGATTCATTAAGACATCAAAATACATATATATCCTTTACTTAGATATTTTATCTATATAATCCGTCCGTCTACCTGACCTGTATACATGCAAGTGTTGACACTTGAAAAGGTACTAAAATGAAATCGTAGCTAACTTCAAACTTTTGATTACAGAAAAAGTTCCCTAACATTTAGTCTAGTTGAAAAGAGTGAAAAAGTGTTCTGTTTGTTCCCTGCACATTTATTAATTAATCTATAGAAATTTTCTGGATAGAAACATCAGTTAAAATCTCCTTTTTAGATGATATAAAAATCATTTCTTAGAAAATGGTCAAATATTTCAGGGATTTAGATATATGTTTCATGATCAAACATGACCAAAGACTTTCGAACTCACAATAGACAATAAATCATTTCATCAGTGTGTCAATATTTGAATGAAAATGTTTATTTTTTTTTACTTATGAGACACTACAAGATAGTACAAAACGCTCACAAGATCACTTCACACAATGCAAATAGAATTGGACACAGAAGAGTCAGATAATGAATTTAAATGTATCACGCAGTTGCTCTGTTCTTCCTGGACTTGTCAGTGACACTAAAGTCCTGCAAAAACCTAGGAGACGATTGAGGAACACAAAAATTAATGGAAAGAAATGCCAAAATCAGAAACATTTTGTGAGGGTCATGTATCTAATAATATCAAATATATATATTGAATTTGCATACATTTACAAAACATATGATTTAGAACTTAAATGTCAGTTCTGCAAAAAAATGAACATACTACAAAGCGGGTGTCGTCGATGAAGCAGAAGACGCTTACTCTTCCGGAACAAGTGATATTTTTCTTTTTTTTCAGGAGCCTCCGTCTAAATCTTTCTTTTCTACATAGTTTACCCTAGTTTTATGGAAATTGTGTTTGGATTATGATTATGTGGCCATGTTTGTATTTTCTTGATTTTTGTTTTACAACAGGCCACTATCTGTTTACGTTCTAGACAATATTACAAACAACAATTTATTTATCCGTCAACAAGATGTAAATTGACATTAACAAGTCACACGTTAGTTTATTGCTGCAATTTTCACCACGTTCAAATGAAATCTTATCAATTTGTAGGTGAAACAATGAAAACCTCAAAAGCTTATCACCGTCTATTGATTAAAACACCCCTATATCGTTGTACAAATATAGATATCTGATCATGCACAATCCAGATATCAGACACATCATCTTTATTTTCCTCTTAAAAACAAATGCTGATATCGATGAAGAGTATGATAGCACTCAGCACTTCAGGTTTGTATATATTTCCCCAACCAGTGCTGAAGGATAAATGGAGATCAGTACACGAAATGAATTAGGACAATTCATCCTTTGTTGTGTCCTTGAAATCAAATATGTTTCATGGCAATGTTTCAATAGTTGGATATTGCAGAACAATAATCTCGAAAAGTCTTCTACCATTTTTGTCAGATTTTCGAAGATTTAAGGTCTTGAACTGATATCTTTTTACATAAGAAAATCAATATGTCATTTACGTTGACCTTAAAAGCAAAACGTTTTATATTTCATTTTACTTTCCTCGGTTTTATATCATTTTTCATTCAACCGAATATCAATCAGTCTGAAAGGTATATGCACATTCTCTCGAACATATGGTCAAACAGGAAATCTATGAGTCATGTATTTTTCAAGCAGCATACGAAATACGATTCAACAAATCTACATTGAACTGTGTACAAGCGAGAACTTCAAGTTTTACTACCATCCGTCTATGCTTTGTTTTGACTTTATCTTTATAACAACAGAACTGAAATGTTCGTTACCGCTATTTATAACGTTCTCTTGCCGTGAACGACAATACTGTACAGTAGCCTTTGTTAACTTTTCGAGCGTTTCCACACGATAATAGTGTCATATCATACAGTGATACCTAAGTATATCAATATTCTCAGTTTAGAAAGGGATTAAAACCCTTAAACGCCGTAAATGTATTGATTGACAATCTACGCGGACATACACCGACATAATAAATAATTCAAAACCCAATAGTTTTAGCTACTTGATGTGAAGTGATTTTGCTCTACTTAATATATCTTACAATATGGAAGAATATTAACGTATTTTTGACGGGTGGCAGTATAGGATAGCAAATTTAGACTGTCGTGCAGGTGATAAGAGTCTGAGGTTTTCAGTGAATCCTTGAGTTATATACCATGTAGTCATTTTTAACATTGTACTGACAAGTTAGTATACATATCGCTTCAAATGACGCGATATTTCAATATTGTAAGCCTACCATTGATAATGCATTGACAGTTTAACAATATATATATAATGAATACCAACAAATATGGTATAAAAAATAATCAATGACACACCAGAGTCAATGTGTATATAACAGTAATAAAAAATTTATTTTTTACAACATCGGCCGTTTACCTCGTTTTGCATTTAAAAAGTAGCGAATATGGATATTGCAATAATCACAAACATCCGATAAGCATGGTGATTTTAATCATGAACTTTTCATTTCTGAGTTATAATTCCATGTCGCAGTTAGTTATATATTGAAGGCTTTTATCCCTAGGTAATGCTGTCCATGAGAAATGTCGAGATCTGACACAAAAAGTGCTCACGTGATAACGAATGATGCTATTGTCGGCATCATGTTCTCATTGAAAATGTCCTTATCCCTAGTGAGCTATGATATGTATAATGTGTGTTAATGCTTTTGCTATTACCAAGCAGGTTAACACTGACCTGAAACAGACCATAAACTTTACAGAATGTCTTGTCTAATTCTCATTATTTAGCTCGTTATCATTTCTTTTATTCATAACTTGCTCTCTGTTTATTGATTTTGAATTATAACAATACATACATGTTTTTATTCATTTATTTCATTTGAGAACGCAATATTTACTTCAGTTTACCTAGATTTCCTTTACATATAACACCAATGGAGCCGCAGAATCAATCCATTCGAAAATACCTGGTGTTTGGTATATACTTGTCCTGTAATTTTCCGAAAGGTCTGTTCATATTTTGCCTTATTTTACATTTTGTTTTTATTCGTGATAATGGTTTCGTTTATATATCTGTATTATATCGTATATTTGCAAGGAATTCCTAAAGAAACTGTGCCTACGTCCCGGACAGAAAGTGCTAGATGTTGGATGTGGAATCGGCGGCAATGCATTTTACATGGCCAAGGTAGAACATTTTAGTGTTAGCATTAGCTCCGAGAAGTATAAATACTTAAATTGATATAAATAAATATCTAGTATCTACGGCTCGGATAATTTGAATATGTTCTGTTAGTTTGATTGGTACATTGGTCATTTTATATTTTTTCATTAATATTAGTAATCTCTAATTGTGCCTGAATTAAATGCAATTGTAATACCCTCTTCCTACTGTATATTTTCCATAATTAGGAGTTTGGGGTCAAAGTCATCGCCATGGACCTGTCATCGAATATGATTGATATTGCTAAGGAGCGAGCGAAGGAACTGAACATCACAGAAACGGTAAGAAATTTCAATACGACTTCACATTTTAAAAAAATCTCTCTCTGAAATCTGGCTTATGTAAATTTAACACTGAAAACTGTATACATGATATTATGTTGCCAATGTTAATGCAGAATATTTTCTATTACATAAAATGCTGTGAAACACCTTATATGTGTATTTACATTTTTTATTTAAATTTTTGTTTTCTGAATTTCAAGGTGATATCATCCTGATGTCTTTTGCTACTTATTAAAGAAAAATTTAAGTTCAAAATCTGGTCTTATGGGGAATTCTGATATCTGACATACCCACAAAATCGGTTTTTAGGTTTTCACACCGTGAGTAAACTTTTAAAACATTTATTTGGATTAAGCTGAGACTTGCTGAGAATCCCTCTGAGTTTTCTCCAATGATGGCAATGTTCGGACCCTGGATTCATCTTCTTTACATCATAGAACCACTTTTAGGATATCTCTTTCAATTATTTTCTTTTTCTTTTTGCCACCTTTACTCTTTCCACCATTCATTCTTAAATCATATCTTTACACTAGGAGTGAACTATTAGAGTGTTTAGCACCCATTACTCATACATATGTATGTATAAGGAGAAACATGTGTTTATGCATTCGTGCAAAACATTCCCCTCACCAAGCAAAACCCAATACATAAAAAAATGTACATATTTTACATTTAAACAACAGAAGCAAAACACAATACATAACTGACAACAATTCATAGATATGTGATCTATGATTTCAAAATTTTGTTAACAATAAAGTCCTTAAACATGCTGGTAATGAATAAAGTAAATCCAGAAAATATCAGCATTGCAACATAAACATAATCTATTAATAGAACAAGGACAAAATAAGAACTAAAGGAAGATAATACACATATACATGAATTGCAGTATGCTCCATTGAGAACCATCTTTTATTGGTAAAAAACTCACATTCGCCATATGCACAATGATTGCACACACCTGGTTTTACAGGAAAAGCATTACCCTTTCTCCCCCCTAAGTAAACTAAATCACATCTTAAAATTAGTATACTGTCATCTGTATATTTAATTCTTTAAACGTTAACGGGAAACTGTTTCTTGTTAAATTTAATCATTAGATATTTTAATCATGCTACATTTCGTTCAATAGATTGAGTTTGATTTTACTCCGCCATTGAATTGGTTTAAACAGTTACAAATTGCTCCAACTACTACTACTGGTGTTACCAATTTATCATATGTCGGTCTCTCTATTCATCTAACCGTTAAGGCCTATTGACCTCCTGTTGAGCAAATAACTGACCTTCTGAAACATTGTTGTAAAAAAAATATGTTAATTAAAAATGCATTTGCAAGACATTTCAAATGTTTTGTCTGAATTATTGGAGACATGTGAATCAAATTAACAAATAATCCGAGTGCCGTAACATGCAGTTGCATAATTTGTCAAGAAGGCAAGACTGTTCTCAGTGTTTGTTAGAATAAAAAGGCACCGGGATTTGTCATTTTTACAGACTCTTGTCAAGTATTGGTTTTTACGGAATCAAACTCTCACCTTTTAATTGTTTGAAGAGCAATTGAGGAAAGAAAGAGAATAACAGTGTAAATACCTATATATCAATGACATAAACAACGTAAGGACATGTAGCTTTTCTGATGTTTCTATTATTCGGATCATTACACAGTAGCTATATTCCTTCAGGAAAACTGCAATACCATAAGATCCCTGGTGTTATTTTTTGTTTGTTTGTTTTGGTTTGTTTTTTCTTCGAAAATACAGTGAATTACCATGATTTGGTGGATAAATACTTCACTAATACTAAAATTTCAAAAACTTTGTGTCATTTTATGTCATGTTATTAAACAGTTTATTGTTTCCAGAACATTTTGTGGGTGACTACTAACCTAAGATCCAGTGACACGCCCCCACCCTCACTCCTCATTAACACCAGCTCCCATCCCGCAAAATAATGATTTTACATGATAAGTTGAAAATGTGAAATAAAATATAGGTTGAAATTATCATTGATCGTGTGATTGCCAGACTCATAAATATGAAAAAATACATATAGATCAAATTTTCAATATGGAATCCATGAATTATTAACTTATGGTATTTATAGATATGATTGTGTGTGGAATATGGATCTTTATTGATGAAATATCAAGATAAGGAATCCTGGTAAATCGATAGACACAAAATAAATGGCCTGTGAAAAACCTAGATGAAAGATAAAACAGTTCTGATTTACCTGTCCCGAGGAAAACTGAAATTTCATCATTAATGTTAAACATCTGTACAGATAAAAAAAAATCTGACTGAAGCTCAAAGTGACGGATTTCATAAAAACGTGATAGACAATAAATTCTTGTTTTATAAAATCATACCTATCGTGACACTTTAACAGAAATAATATTTTCACATATCTCTTCCAAGGAAACCTACGCTATAGAAACCTTGGTATTTTTGGGAAGTATCGATCGTTTAAGATGCGACCATCTAAGATAAATCAATGCGTGTATCATCTCATATACCAGGGCATTTATATCGCCCTCCTGGAAAAAAATCACATGTTCCGGAAAGTTATGAAGCAATTAAATTTAAATATTTAAACATTCCATTGATTTCGGTTGTGCTCAGCACCAGGTATTCACACGTTTAGGAGAAATCAGTGTAGAACCGGTGCATCAACGTTGTATCAGCGGCCTGTAACATTAATAATTGACGTGCTAGAATGTGTCGTGTACTTTCTAATGGTATACTATACTGGTATGCCCTAAAAGTCAATGATCTCTTGGAGCGAGGATTATTTTTTCTTCTTGATGACGTAAATCACATGTAAATGTGATAACACATATCTAATTTAACGATGGAAAAACAGTATTTGTACTCATTAAGTACAATGTATCCTTTACATTCCTATGGAAGCGGACGCGTATCGTTTTGTATACGGATCCTACCAGCGATGTATTTTCCTTCCGTCAGATAACCAAATGCATTAAAGTATGGGTTATATAAATGTTGTCGAAATACCTGGTATCTTATCTGAAACGTACTTATTAGATTGTGCAGTACCACTTGATACAATGTATTTAAATATCTTGTAACATTAGAATTAACGTGTTACTGAAGTAATTTGGAACGGTTTACTATCGTATTTCGTCCGTAAATTTTGCATTTCGCTTTAAAGGGAGTGTATAATGATTGTTAATAGCATTATTGGCACCGACTAAACACGACATTAGTTATTAATAAGTTCTTGAGACAAACAGTTCCTGATGTCTCTAGTCCAAATTCTCATATATAACACAAACTACAAATATAGTCAATCCCGACGTCTTCTGTTTTGTTAAATGTCTGAGTCCATTGTTTCCAAGGATATTTCCGCGACGTGAACAGTTTTAGATCGGAGCCGTGTGTATCATCATTATTCTACCTGTGTTGGCAGTAATAAACCACAATTGTGGCAATATAATTACTACACTTAAAAAAGTAACGTTTTCCCGCAAATCTTATGCCAGTAGTAAACTTGATGAACGACTTCACCACTTCACCTTGTACGCTGCTGATTTATCTGTCATGATATGTGTTGTGTACAGACATAAAATCCAATTCTGTATTGATAACCAAAGGGAAAAGGCGTGGCATCTCAGAAGAGATAAATAAATAAATAAAGAGAAACTAATATTTTTTATGTTTTATGCACTGTAGCCTAACGCGAGGTGCCCCTACCGTCATAACAACTATAGACACTAGAAACAGCCAACATTCATCTGTCAATAATGTGTCCTTCTAGGCAGGCTTAAGGCTTTAAAATGTTTCATTTTGTTAATACCATACTTTAAAACGGCCAAATGGATAGGCAAACATTTCAAAAGTAATCTTCTACATGGAAATCTTCTTAACACTTCTGTCAATCAGCGACATTCCATCTGTTTTCTTGTCTCGCTTACCTTTAGGACGTGGACTTTGAAGTAGCTGATGCTACGCGAAGAGAGTATCCACCAGATTACTTTGACGTCATCTTCAGTAGAGATACAATTCTTCACATAGCTAGCAAACTCCAGCTCTTCCGAAAATTTAAGGTATATTTATGCATGATTTGCTCTCCATCACACTCCGATAGATAAACGGTAATATTCAACCACATTGTGTTATATCTTACTAGAATATATAATGAATTAGGTAATGGAAATGTAAGTAGGTAAAAATAAGCATGCACTGTTAATTTGTTTAGATAGATATATTACATGTAAATAAGATATCTGTAATGATCGACTTTGTATATTAATATTGAGAACGAAATCTTAATAATTAGTGATAGGTTCGTAGAATTAATGACACATAAGAGAGTTAATTAAACGTGAAATTTGTTACGAAAATTGATGTATTTTCATTCAAATATTATTATTATGTTCTCATGAGATAACAAGACATAAAAATTATTCCATAGTGCAGATTGTGCAAATCATCGCCTTGATTTTGACATTTTTTCGATCAATATTAATTTTCCTCAGCCACTTCTAGGTTTTAAAATTTAGTCCCCTAGTCTGTGGTTTCAGTATAATTGGCGACGCTCCAACAGCCTGTTGGCCTAGTATTTCATGTTTTATTGTCACTATGCAGACTTTCCTGAAGCCTGGAGGCCAAGTACTTGTATCAGATTATTGCTGTAGTGAGGGGGAACATACACAACAGTTCAAAGACTACGTCAAGACGTTTGGATACAGCATACTATCACAGCGAGAATATTGCTCGGTAAGCATAGTCGTCGACCCTCTCAGTTTTATGGAGAAGATTAAACTGATAATGGAGAAAAAGGAAGAGAAAAGATAAGAAATAAGAACGCATTTTTCACCGAGATTATAATCAGCATTTTAACAAAATTGAAAACGCATTGTAAGGCTTTTTTGTTAATGGCAAAAGTCCAATAAATGCAAAGTTGTATTACCGACAGCCTGACAGCTCCATGTGTTGGTGATGGGAATGAAAGAACAATGGGATTATCTGTAAATGACAAAGAAACTTGCCGTAGAGAGGTTTTGTACATTACCTAAACACAGAACGACATATGATATTTGCAAGTTGATAATATTTTACAAGATTTCTTCTAGATTATAAAGTAACGTTTTCTTGTTTGTGGGTCTCTACTGTAAAACTACAAATGATAAACATGAGATATAAAAAATACAATGCAATTGTAAACAAACTACAAATTTGTACAACTTAATTTAGAAAGACAATCACATGATATTATATGTTCGCAAAAATTGTACAATCTACAATATCAGGAGTGTTGTTATCAATTTTTTTGTTGCTTAGACGATGGAAGAAGCTGGCTTCATTCGGATAGATACGGAGAATAAGACAGATTTATTCATCAAAACGACAACGCTGGAGTTAGATCGGCTAGTAACACGGAGAGAAGATTATATAAAGGTGTTTGTCCAACAATATTGATTCATCACGTGATATTGAGGCAAAATGGTTCTTGGTTATTGATTGTTATTTATATTAATTGCGAATAGCACGTTCTGTGTTCTTTTGTATTTAAATTTTCATGTAAATATAAAACAGTATGGTTATAACATTATTAGGTGTCAAGAATCAAATAAGTAATGTTTTAATATTATTAACTCAAAGAACAGACTAAGCTGAGACATTTACAGAGCAAAGGGAACGCAAACTATACGGGAAGTATTAGGTCTATACCAGCATAAGATAGAATAACTAGCACGATTATAAATGAGACACTGGCCATCCTGTCGACACTACAAATTAAATCAACAATTGAATCGAGCCATACCAGAAAAGCAAGGTTCACAGAACATGACATCACTGTAGACAAATAAGTATCTTAGACAAGAATAAAGGTCTGCCATGAAAGAACAGCCATTCGTCTTCTGCCAGGATTCCTAATTAACTTATTTGGACAAATTCTCGTAATCTAATTTCATATTAGAATTTGGGTAACCACCATCATTCGAGACAGCCAGCCAGGTTGTTTTTAACGTCTTTTACCACTGTAAAACTGCAATGGGTAATTTACAGGGTAACAAAACACAAGATCCTGGTAACAAATTGACTTAAAGTTTATGTGATGAAAGACAATATAAGATACCATTCTTTTCTTTTCTGTATACGTAGTTATTTCCTGTTGTTGTATTCTCGAATTTTCTACAAACATGTACTTATCTTTATGGTCAATTATACCTAAATCTTTAAGCAAAAATCTTTTCCATTTATTTCAGGAATTTTCATTGGAAGACTACGACGCATTTTCAACAATGTGGAGAAATACACAGAAGTGCGCTGCAGTAGGAGACCAAATTCTTGGCCTGTTCTATGCAGAGAAACCTGCTTGATTTTCTGACGATTTCAATCGGAATGAAAACGTTTTCCAGCCTTAGTAATCCAAATGTACCCCGAGCTTTCCATTTATACTTAAAAGTGCATGTTTTACACATTAAAATGCAAAATTAAGGGGGCTGTTTTGCCAGAATTATATTTTCATAGTGATCGAAGCCATAATCTGCCAAAACCGTACATCATGATTAAATGCTATTTCAGACCGTAGGGCAGAAATAATTGGACAACAACGGACAAAACATGCGGTTGTGAAGAAAAAAGGCCGAAAATATTTGCCTCCAATGTATCTCACTTGTCCTATCATTTTTTTAAAAGTTACTAGATGTGTGAAAATATCGTCACATGTTCAGATGTTGAAATTATTAGAGTTGCAAAAAAGAATTTATATGTTTAGCTTTCAAAAATGATAGAGGTTTTGAAATGCCATCATACAGAGGTATACAAACATTTTGAAATTACTAGAGATGTGAAAATAACGTCACATGATCAGATGCTGAAATTACTAGAGATGTAAAATAAGTCATGTTTTTTACTTATGATATTAGAAGAGGAATGAAAATATGATAATATGCTCTAATTTTGAAATTACTAGATGTGTGAAAATGATCTCATTAGCCAAATTTCAAAATAACTAGAAATGTGAAAATTAGAAAAAAATTTTAAAGTTTAAATGTGAAATCCAGTTAACTAGCTATAAATGTCTCCATTAGGTCACTACTTATATCAATGCACACTGTTCTAACGTCCAAAATATATGTAGCTTATCTTAAAAAGCTACAGGAATACACTTCAGATAAAAGTTCAAAATATTATTGATAATCTTGGTTTAAGAAAGTACCTATTTCATATGTATCCTGAGATTACTACCTTATGAATAAAATAACATTTGCTCGAGTAATTCAACAATAAAATACATTAAAATGATATGTATACATAAAAAATACATTACGCCAAGTAAAAATAATATTACAATGTACAGGTAATACAATGTGGTTTTGATTAATACAGGTATTTATCTCGTTACAACAAATCTAATGAGGTTATGAAGTGTCTACAATTTCACAAAGTAGTGCTGAAATTGTACATAATGAAAAAAAACATATATGCAACAGGTCTTCAATAAAGAAAATGTAAAATATTTATAAAGTTTAATAAGTAAACTAATTCCAATCACTGAAAAGTATGTCGGCTTTCCTTATACATGCAGATCCGCAGCAAATCTATACTTAGTAACTTCTGTTAATAGATTTTCATAATATACACATCAAAACAGAGCCTATACTCAAACAGTATCTGCCTAACTATTGGATTTGTTTCATAAAAAATCATATGGTTGTATTATGGGACGAAAATAGTTTCCTTTTTACAAACTTATTTATCTTTTTCAGTGAAGTTAATTCCAATGTATATTTCTCCCAATGAAACAGAATGCAAAGCGCATTAATGTCTCATGGATTGCCTCCCTTCCAATCTGTTCAGAGCAAGACGAATATAACAATCAAAAGAGAGCTACGGTAAGTATACTAGGCTCATAACTTCGAATTTGAACGTATGTTTTATCAGTACACAGCGTTTTCAATTTTCTTTAAAATTCTGCAACGTTATTTGCAGTAGTCAAATTTGTTTGTTTATTCGGTTGGGGAACCATATATACAAGTGCATAAAAATTCAAATTATCCAGTGATGTCTAATTTATGAAAAAGTAAGTAATCTAGACCTAGACTACATTTGAATTTGATTTCCGTAAATTAAAAATAAAAAACGTTGGTTACTACTAGTGCATAGATGTATCTATATTAGAAAAGATAGATGTTGTGATTAAAATCTCCCGAGATCACAAATACCTTAGAAATTTTTTTTTTCTGTTCAGTTGAAATCAAACACCATGACATATTCTATCCAATTCCAATATTTCTTTATCATTTAAAAATATCCTAAAATTACATTTTAATGGCACTATTCAAAATTTCACTTGAGGAGTATATCGGTATGAAAAGTATGATAGGTCAGGATTTTTATAGGACTACAATGTAAATGATTTCTATAACAATGTAAGTTTAGCGTAGTATGGCTATTTGTACTGGTAAATATCAACTGGTGTAGCTGTTTTTGAAGGCCCTGGACTGGTGCTGGGTAAATAACCTGTATATATATACATATAATTGATTTTAAGTGGAACACTTACCATTATTTACTAATTACCAATTTATTACCACCAAGTGCTTTGTAATACACTCAACCGTATGCAGACATTTTTAGCTCACATGGCCCGAAGGGTCACGTAAGCTACGCTATACTGCAGCCTCCGTCGTCCGTCCGTCAACTGTTTACTGAAAATCGCTGCTTATCATCAACGACTTAGACGATTTTGACCAAATTTTGTCAGAAGCATCCTTTTAGAAAAGATAAAAAGTTTTGTATAAATATTGGGTTTCAACCCCAAGGGGCCTGAGAGACGGGACCAAGAAGGGGAAATTTCGAAATCCTACACCTCCTGTTGGAATGATTGGATTCTGCCAAGTTGTTTTGTATAAACGATGGGTCTCGAGACCCCCTGTGGTTTGAGAGGAGGCTCCCGATATGGGGAAAAAGAGTAAATTCTTTATATCCATACTCCTCTTGCAGGAATGTTCGGATTTTGTCCAAATTTAGACTAAAGCATTCTTAACTTAAGGGGAATAAATTTTGTATAAATGGTAGGTCTTGGCCCCCTGGGGCTGGAGGAGTGGGCCCAATAACGGGAAAAGAGCAAATTCTTTAAAATCCTACTCCAGTAAGAATGATTGGATTTTGTCCAAATTTGGTCTAAAGCATTCATATGTATGTAGGAATCAATTTGCAATTGCGTGGCCCACGGGGAGAAATAGAGCAAACCCTACTCCGCCTGTAGGAATGTTTGGAGTTTGCCAAAATTTGTATGAAGTCTCGTTGGGTAAAAGGAAATCAGTTTTGGATAAATGGTCATTCTTGTCCCCTGTGACAAACGTTGCGAGGCTCTATGGGGTAAATAAAGCAAAACCCTTTATAATCCTGCTTCTGTAGGAGTGCCAGGATTCTATCCAAATTAATATCTGAAGCATTCTTGGATGAAGGAGACTTTTTATACGCAGTTTTGATGATCCTATGATGGCAGGAAGGTGGGACCAAGAAAGAAATCGATATATACATAATAATTCTTTTTCCTTTACATTGGATGAAGCAATTTTAGTCAAAGCCAGGTGTGCGATACAGGCCGTATGGACCTCTTGTATTTACTTCAATTTTATATTTTCTTTAAAAAATGTGTTGTTGAGTCATTCCACCTTTTTCTTAATTGTTGTAGTATTTGTAATTTTAGATCAATAAAGATACTTTATTCTTTTAATATAATCTGTTGCTCCTTATTTCATGAGACACATCTAAACGTGTACAGATTATCTCGGCCGCTTACATCTGTAACTATTAACTGAGAATGATACAATAAAAACTTATAGTCAATAGTCCTTCAAAAACTTCTTCTATGAGCATAATGGGTCATCCTACATTTCAATTTAACTTAAACCTATTCATGCACTTCAGACTTAACTAAATGTCTACCAATGTTAGGAATTCCTGCATTACACAGGTTTCGGTTTTAACAAGTTACCTAATGTTTGTCAACAACAAAAAATGATTATGTATTCAAATAAGGTTTTATTACACATGAAATCTCTGAAAGACATAATGGACAATTTGGACACACAGTACCTTCATACATCCTTCGTTTGTAACCAAGGTATTGGTTATCAGCAAATCAGTGGGAAGATTATATTATTTCTTCAATTCAACAGTAAATGCTAACTATAGCATGCAAACATATGAACAAATGCAACAATCAACAGTTAAAATGCTAACTTCATTACCCTCTCTTTCATGAAATATATCTTTTAGATTCCAAACAGGGTTTAACCCTATCTCAGCAGAAATTGTACATATACTTCAGCTAAACTTCAATAACACAAGCAGGAGACAGTTTTCTAAATCTTGTGATTTAAAGCCAAGACTATGGTGACCTCACAATGTCACAGTCCAATATATGCATTCATCTTGTGTATAGCTTTGGTATCATATTCCAATATCTTTAAAAAAAAAAACTTTCTACAAGTACATCTGTTACCTCAGTTTCATACAGAAAAAACAAGTCCATATCTTGATGTAATATTACATCGGAATTCTACTATGATAAATACGGAGACTGAAAAGTGAGATGATAAGGAATGCAGATGGATGACCGTGGCCTCCACAAGCAGTAAGTTATCAGAATTTGGTTCACTTGTTACAAATTCTCTAGAACCAGTTTTCCTCCAACACAGCTTCTATGTCAACAATAGTGATAAAGAATCCCAAAAGATAAACAACTTTTACATCATGGACTCTTTTCTTTAAAGAGGCAAGATTAAACACTATTAATTTTATTAAAGTTCTGAATCAACTTTTCATGTCTGATCTGGAGATCAAACCTCCATGGCCTTGGTAAGTTTAAGGTTTCCATAGGTTCTTCAGAATGTTATCATACATCTATCTTTATCATTGTACGGGTGGCAACTAACATACAGAAATAAAATTTACAGTTTTTAGATTTGCTTGTCAAACATGTACCAATAAACTCTGAATTCTTTGTGTCTCTTTCTATTGTGTACTAACCTACATATAAACATGTATGAACACCACTGACAAATGAAGGGAATTATGTATGTCACAAAGGTAGGAATTGACCATTCATTTCAAACTCAATGTTCCAGAGATAAGCATTAGGAACCAAGATAAGTGGCCAGCATTTAAGGTTTAACATGTTAATAAAATGATTAGACCCTAGTCACAAAAAATGTTCTAATGCTTAAGTTAAGCTCTAATAGGCTAAAGGCAGGTGATTGATGTTAATTTCAAATATGTACAGCATTTTTTATGTGAATTATTTCAATCCAGTTCACATGACCTGATATTGTGATTTCTACAAATAGATAAGGTTTTAGTTATTGTTTTTTACTGAAGAAGACTTCTGAGATTCAACATTTAAGCAAAGAAATATTCTTATCTTTAGTGTACTTCCTGAGATTCAAACAACTGCATCAAAGAGTGTAATATCTACATTTCCTGAGTATTTGTGGATATACATGTAGATGTTTTCAAATCTGATCATAAAGTTTTTATATGAACCATTGTCTTTTCTAGTTAATATTTTAAGTAAAATTCTCACCTGATATCTTTTCAAATGCTAGAAGTAAGACAAAATGCAATTTTTTTTTTACTTTCTTACAGTCACTATTTAGAAAATTACTATGTATATATAATTACATACAAATATGTTAAATCTGAACAAATTCTTGGCAGATTGTGATTTCAGGTCAAATGACTGCATTTATTCAAACATGTCTTAATTTGATTTAAAAATTTCAGTTATTTGTTTCAATCACAACCCTCCCAATATATTCCAAGAAGTAAGAAAGAACATATTTTTCTTATGAAAATAAGCAGATAGCCCCAGAAAACTATTTGCACTGCTTAATTTTCATGTTTACATATCAAACCAGAGAAATATTATTCAATTACACAACTGCAAGTTTCCAGAAATTAGCCTGACCATATTATTTGAATTATAAATGATTTCAGATCTGTAGAACAAAATCAAATAAATTTGATAGGGATAATTCTGATATATTTATAAATACATGTGTTGATTACATAACAGATTCTGTTTCATGTGGATGTTTCTTATTCTTTAAAGTTAAAATTTACTTAGAATAATTATTCTGAAAGCACTCATTCCTTCACAGTTCATACACAACAAAAATCCTGCATAAAATGACAACAGTAAAATCTAACACCCGGGGAAATAGCTATACAGTGGGAGGCAGATCAACAATCATTTGTCACACTCATTCTAGTGTCTTTAAGAAGGTGTTATAATCCTCTTCAGACATCAATCCCTCTAGCTCTGAACTGTTTGTTAACTCCAGTTTGAACAGCCAACCTGTAAGTAGAAAGAACTGATAATATATATGAGTCAGAATTTGGAGTCATAAAATATATCTTACTTCCATTCCTTTTTAGTAGATCTTCAAAACATTAATAAAAGTAATTGAAAATTCCTCAGTCAAGGATATAACTTCCGAAATATTTTAAATAATAATTTGTAATATTATAAAATGTTTACATCACAATTCCTATTTTAACTCGTTATTGAAAGTTATTCACGAGGACGTGACGATGGACACTAAACCCCATCAACCAATCAATTATACTTTAGCAAAAACTGGTCAAATTACAGCCCAACGTTTTGACAGTGGTTGATCTTCAACTGCCAATTCAGTAAAAATGGTCAAATATTCAATGATTTGTAATATTGGATTTGTCTCCCAATAAATTCTGTCATTTCAAACAACATTTTCAATGGTTGGCCAACATATTCATCTAATGTCTTGGTCGTATCTTTAACTTGCCACACCAATACATTGGTAATCTTTAGCATCATTGTTGTGCAAATGTACATTGAACAGTCGAAAACCGATCTGATATATGCACCTCAAACATGATGTTGTAAAATATCTATAACATACTCGTAATAAGAGATAAATTTCTGTAGTTTTAATGCTCTGGACGTAACATTATGACACATGTTACCGGGGATGCACAAGTGCTGAATGACTGAATTTCTTTCAAACAGAGGTTTTCACTATGTTCGCCATAATCAGGACACAAACCACTTCCACAAGGATATACACAACCACAAGGCGATGATAATACACAAGTTAAGGATGTACTCCACTGATGTCTTGACCAGAAGTAAGACAAAATTCAATCTGAAATTAATTTGTTAAATTTTCAAGTCCTAGCTGTAGCTTTTCTAAAGCAGGCTATGTTTAGTTATTCAGAGGTTGATAAATTTTGAAAGCCATTGCCCTTTATCCCAATATTTTGCTGACCCAACTTTTTTTCATTTTTTTGAAAGCCGTCATCAAATTATGACATTTCTACCATGTAATTTTTGGATACGTAATTGACAGGAAGTCTTACTGTATCGGTCATTTCCATACTGTTTGGCTTACCTTCATTGTAGCATGACTTGTTAACAAGGGTTGGATCGTCCTCTACTGCTTGATTACTAGAGACCACAACACCAGATACAGGTGTGTAGATCTCGCTAGCCGCCTTCACACTCTCCAATACACCTATCTCATCTGGTAAATATAAATTAAGACATATTGTATGTAAGTATCATAAGAAAAATCCAAATTCTTACAATGTTTTTTTCAATTTTTTGTACCTAGAAATATTATTTTAGCAAATCATTTATACCCTTTTCTTGACTTTGTAATCTAATCCTCTAAGCACAAATATATGGGTTTTTTCAATCTTGTCAGTGCAATGTTGTTTTTCTCGGGTCTAACGTATCTAAATTATTTGAATCTGTTGATATATTAAGCAAGCAAAATATGTGTTGCATAACATATGACATATACATAAGAATATATTCTTTCTGTACTTTAAATTAAGCATTTAGCTAAGCATAAAATTTAGCACAGAATTAATATACATCTTGTACATATGTATAAGCAAAAGTGAAAGCAATAGATACATTTAAACAATTTTAATTAATATAAAAAATCATCAAATCTACATACACACAATGTGTTTCAAATATGAAATAATAGTAGTAATAAATGTAAAACTGATGGAGAATGGACAGTTTCCAGAGCTATGCAAGAGTTATCTCCCTTCCTCCGCATCTTCATAATATAAACGCATATATATACATAAAAGAAATGCCAGACATTGAATGATAATTAATTAAGTTATGTAATTAATACATAATCTGGAGTTTGGTGGGACGGTTTCTCTTAATCTTATAGCTGCCCTGTGCTACATGTAGCTGAACTTGCATAAATTGGGAAACATCTTGTAGGGAAACAGCTTGTTTTAGGTTGTAAAATACAGAAAAGTTACAAGTTATATTAATGTTAAAGATTACCATCTTTCTCCAATTCTGTACCCTCTTCGGGAAGCTGTGCAAAAACTACTTCTCCTAATTTATCCTGAAAATAGAAGATATTGTTGAAAATTGGAAGGGATATGTGACTATGTGACAAGATAAGATGTGACTAGATTGCACAGACATTGTTACACACCAATGTTTACACAATATACCCCACACATAAATTGAAAAATCATTGAACTTAGTTATAACCAGATATTATACACTGTCAGATGGAAGTTCAATGATATTATAAAACTTTTAATGAAAAATAACCAACAAATTTACGAAGGGCTACCCAGATATTTGCAAAGCTGCATTAAAAATCTGTATTGAAAAAGGTTGGAATAAAAAAATGTAGCACACAGATTCAAAACTTCAAGGGACAGTTACCACTACATATATCATTTGTGCAGCTCCATTGATATGAACTCTCAAGTGTTAGAAAAGTTGTCTAGTTTTCTGCTGAAACTGATTCCAGTACTGCCGTATTTGTAGTGGATGGTTGAGATGTGGGGGATTATATTACAAGGATTAAGCTTACAGTGTATTATAATTACCTGGGCATAGTCCGATATTCCAACCGTTCCAACATTGTTATTTACTGTTACCCATTCATGCTTGTCAGAGAAAAGTTTGTCTGAAAAGAAAAGCAATAAAAAATGGGACTGTATTTATGATACGAAAAGTATTTGTACACATGTAGGCACATCAACATTTCATTCTGCCATGGAAAGTATTTGTACACATGTAGGCACATCAACATTTCATTCTGACATGGAAAGTACTTGTACACATGTAGGCACATCAACATTTCATTCTGACATGGAAAGTATTTGTACACATGTAGGCACATCAACATTTCATTCTGCCATGGAAAGTATTTGTACACATGTAGGCACTTCAACATTTCATTCTGCCATGGAAAGTATTTGTACACATGTAGGCACATCAACATTTCATTCTGACATGGAAAGTATTTCTACACATGTAAGCACATCAACATTTCACCAGGTAAAATAACCAGAGAGACAATAAACAATATCATTACATATATAGTTCTACGGAAAGTATTGTTGATTACAACTTGTGCATACACACTGAAGATTTCACTGAATTACAGTGTTTTGTAAATATATATATTATGTATTCTGTGATATATGTATATAGGCAGTATTACTATGATACCTGTGTATCAGAAAAAAGTCCAACAGTTCCATTGGTCATCTGAAATAATGTACTGCAGTAAATACCTCAAGAATGAGTCATCTTTTATTGAATATCTGACTATTCAGTTTAAACTCTGTTACAAATGTATATATACACACATACTGATATTTTACATAAATTTGTTGAAAAATATATATACAAGAACATGTACTACTATAATTGCCATGAACAAATAGGAAAAATAATTTTCAACTGGGACTTCTCCGATCATTACTGAATTATCATATTATCTTAATTTTATCTTTTTTCTTCATTTTTTCCTTCCTTCCTCTATCATGATAAGAACATGGAACCTGGTCAATAAGGTACACGTATATAGGAAAATGTACTGATTTTTCAAGTACTTCTTTAGAAATAGTGATAGTGATTAGTACCCAAGTCAAAAATGCACAACAAGGCATCATGGGGATTACAAAAGGTATGAATTATAAGGATAACACATCTGGTTGTACTCTAGAAATAATGAGGAAGACATAGCTATAACAAGAGGCACATAGGGCCAGTATCACTCATCTGGTTATGTTTGCTGGAATTGATTTATCTTCAGAAAGGGAAAAGTATTTAAAACATTTGTATCTATTTCCCTGTAATAGACTCGACCCTCCTCCAAAACGTGGTTATATCATTTTTAAAAAATTAAGTTCTTTTCTCCAAGGATGTCTTCACTTCAAACATCAGAAGGATTTTAAGGAGTTTGCTGTCTTTCATCTATTAGGCCCCATCCCTCCAGCCCCAGTGGGCCACAGCCCACTGTTCATATAAAATTGATTACTTTCAACCAAGCATGTCTCAGACTAAATTGGGACAGAATCCAGGCATTCCTACAAAAGGAGAATGATTTTTAAAATTTTCTCTATTTCCCCTTTTGGGTCCAATCTTTCCTTCCCTACAGGACTAAGATCCACCATTTATTCACAGGGTTTTCCATAATTTTGTTAGTAGTAGGCTGTGTAGTGAAAGTAGGAAGCTGGCCTGCCGTGTACGTGTAGTCGTGTACAGAACATTATTACAGAACTGGATTGGTGTAGGTGGCCAAATGATCAAAGTAGCCAGGTCAAATTGGCCGGCGACCGGCTCTTATGGAAAACCCTGTATTCGTAATTGATTCCTTTTCTGACAAGCATGCTTCAAGCCAAATTTGGAGATAAAGTTTTTTAAAGGATTTCTATATATATATATATATGTACTTTCCCTATTGGGATCCACCCTTCCCATCCCCGGGGACCAAGACTATACAAGATTAATTCCTCTTCACCCAAGAATGCTTCAGACCAGATCTATTTGGAAATATTCATTTATTCCTACAAGATAAGAATGACTTTTTAAGAATTTGCAAAATTTCCCAGTATTTTGGGCTGGAATGCAGAAAGGGAAAAGTATTTAAAACATTTGTATCTAGGCCCCTCCAAAACGTGGTTATATCATTTTTAAAAAATTAAGTTCTTTTCTCCAAGGATGTCTTCACTTCAAACATCAGAAGGATTTTAAATTTTTATACATCACTCAATTGAATATGCTACTATAAAAGTACCACAATCCTAGACCTAAGTTTATTGGTTATTGAAAACAAGAAACTAAAAGCTCTAAAAATTGTATTTGTCAGATGTCTTGGTGGCATAGTTGACAGTGACATTTGGTAAATAGGGTAAACAATTTCATAGTGTTCAGTTGCTAAGGTAATTCTCATGAATGTAACTTTGGAACTGTTGGGTAGATTTTTCAAGCAGATCATCACAGATTTGAAATTCACTTTCCCCAGTTTTTAGGACCCAAAAATAAAAATTTCAGCTGGTTTCTTGATCTTGGAAAAACTTTTTTTTTTGCGGTGAATATTGTAAAAAATAATGCGCACATACTCCTTCTTTTTCATCATGAAAACTATCCTGGAAAATTTCTCTATCAAAACTTAAAGTCTTAAAAACGTCAATACTAGACGACGGTAAAATGAAAGATTTCTGTCATTTTGGAACATTTTCATTTTCTGGTTGCTATGCAGTTTAATTAAGCTTGTTAAATCAAATGAAAATTTAGCATTTTCACATGTTTTATTTTCTTATATCCAAGTATCATACCCATACTTAGTAATAAACCTTTCCAATAATCACCATCAGAAAAAAAGTTTGTTCAATGTTTGGTGAAAAATACCAAGAACTGGTATTTCTTGAACTTTATTTTCACGTAAATTTGTTCTTGTAGGGTTCTTGATCATGAACAGCATAAAGAAACAATCTTAAAGAAATCACTAACTACTTTACAAATATTTTATCAATAAAAAAAAATACAAAATAATATATATACAGTTTGTACTTATATTTTTTCATTATTTATGTTTTTTGACAGATTTTTATATTTACACTTAAAATGCTCATATTACACATATCTGTAAAAACTCCCAGTCAAAAATTGAAACAAAATACCACAGAAATGATTTTAATCCTACATTTGAAAATTTACATGTCTCCCATGCAATTATCAGGAATTTTTTGAGTGGGTAGTCTCGTTCCTTCTTGCCATTGTGGCTTAATTTTCATTATCTATATAAAGAGCTCTCTTTCCTGCAACATAAAACGTACAACCCCATTGCAAGGCTCCTTAACGCACGAAGCCCTTTGGCATATGATCTTGAACGTGGGTCAAGGTTATTCATTTGAACAAATTTAGTGTCCCTTCACCCCAATTAAATATACATATATAAATGTTCAAGGGTCTACTGGTCAATTCCCTGTTCTTGTGAAAATAAAATAATAATTTGTTAACCTACTTTTCTAACGAAAAATACAAAACTATTGATTTAAGTAGACATGTATAGTCGGTAGCACTCTATACTAGTTGAACAATGCTAAAAAAATAGGTGACAGTTGTTAAAAACGTGAAGTCAACCGTGAAAACCTATGCACAGTACATATAACCGCATTGATAGGAAGATTGTCGCATGTGAAAAGTAGGCCCTATTCTCTACTATAAATAACCTTAATAGTACATCTGCACAAGGTTATCACGCTCACAGTCATAACAACGTTGCGAACAGTTATGAAAAGTGAACTTTGCGACAGTTTTAAGCAATTACTAACCTGATAATAGTCTGTTAGCCGTGCTGATCAGTCTTACATTTGAACGACATATGCGTATATTGCTAGATAACAATTTTTGCAGATAAACCTGCTGGTGTATCGCACGCCTCAACACTCGAGCAGCCATCTTTGAAAATACGCTAGGTCGAAGTGAAAACTCATATGTCGTTTCCGGAACCGGACCAAGATACCCGGCCTTGACTAAAAATAACTAAAATCCTTATCAAATGTTCTCAGTTTCAAAGAGCAAAATTATATAGGAAATAATATTTTTAAAGAAATTCTGCTATTCGTCCCGTTTATGTAAGTATCTAATTTAAATAAAAGTTCAATAAGAGTTCAATAAGAGTTCAATTTTTGAACTTTCTTTTTAAACATGCCATGGATTTATAGTATGTTTACATGGGACGTAACTACAAAATGCATTATGCCTTACGATCTACTTTTTACGTTTGTTATGTTTGTGTTATAAATCGACACGAAAACCGTTCACACTAATTGAAACTTGAATGAAATATTAAGCTACTGGATTAGAATATTCGAAGTCCGTGATTGAGCTAGTGTTTTATAAAACGCATTTGAGTTTAATTCCTGTTTGATACACAATTATCTAGAAAGTGAAAGGGAGTCTTTTATCTTAACAAGAATTGTTCCATGAGGGAAACCACACTGTACTCACAAGAATAATGTTATTTACTGGTATGTCTCAAATAAATACCATTCCCCTAATGACTTGGAGTCTAGTAAGTAGGGGACGGTTCGATTAAAAGACAGAAATTAATGGGTTTATATATATACATATATATATATATATATGTGTTATTAAGCTAGATATCTACGTGCACCTAATTAACACACACGAACTTGATGATATTGTACAGTAAATATTATATATATATATACCTCTCTGTGACTACAAAACACTGCTCATACAGAACATTACTGAGTTCACGTTGTCTGTATTCATAATAACACAATCGGTATTATATATCTACCTGTATGTATAGAGCGTGGCGACCATTGATTAAATTGTTGTGCCCTATCTACGCCATACACAGGCACTTGAGGGTAGTATATCAATTAACACGGGTTATGTAGTTAGGCAAATAACGGGCAGTCAGTTATTAAAATAGGAACCCGTTTTATAAATAAATAATAAAAAAAAATAATAAATAGATATACATAAATAAATACAATTCAGAGCCCACGACGTTTCAACCGAGAGTAGATATCAAATCTATATATCGTTCTGGTATCTCTACTAACTTGTGTATGTACTGTACTCGATGAGGCTGATTGGTAGGCCCCTGTGATATGTTTTATTCCCGTGCACAAATACTGGTGTGTCAATATGACAAGGATTAAACAAATTAACCATATCGATTAATGACAATTATAAACTTAACATATTTGAATTTTGGCAGAAGAAGAGCTGACATGTATGTAAGTATGTTTATAAGTATTATTGAAACAAAAGACCATGTTTTTTATCATATAAATCGTGATTTGAACGAGTTGAAGAATCTTAGACAGTCAGTTGTATACTTCTTTCAAACAAATCATGAATCAGCTATTTAATTACTTACATCTTATTAATATACATCAAATATTGTTCATACGCTATCTAAGTGCAGGATTAAAGTATCAGTGTAAACCATCGTGCATTTGAAAACAATGGTTATGTAATTTCATTAACATGTATTCGTAAAACAGACGAATCCGTACCGTATGATACCATATTGGTAAACGATATTTGACGTGACTTTATCACTGGGTTGTATCGTTCATAGTCATACACGGTATATACCTTGTACATACTTTGTACATCAACCCTAGTTTATTATATAAACGTCCATATCTTCACGAATCAGTATAACATGTTGAACTAGAGAAATGACACTTCGGAAAGCACCCTGCAAGGGGAGGTAATTTTGATTAAGAATTCGGCTGCTTACATACGGAATCAAACCTGTGAATTAAATAGCGATTATAACTATTTGTGTGTGTTGTGTAATGGATGGCCTCTACCTTGTGATTGTTTTCATCTTTTATATCTTCCTACTATATGGTGACTACGTTCAATATAAATTAGCTTTGAGTAATTTTATTCAGGCAAAATGTTTTTATTTAGAAATAGAATGTGGACATAAATGTGAGTGTTTATGAACTTTCTTGATTAATTTTGATCATCATGAGTCATAAAATCATAAAAACGTATTTTTTAGTAAAAATGTAAAATGTGATATCGACATTTAACCTTGACTGGTAGTGAACTTTTCAATAGTCAACTTTGATTCATAAAGTTAAAAAAAATTGCCAATATTTCACAGATGTTACATTTCAGACAGAGTCTGTGTCCTGTATACATGTAAGTCAAATTTAACATTCAGGAAATTACAATTGATAGTCTTTAAACTGTTGGCATTGAGATTCAGGAATCAGAATGCAACTATATATATGTCTTTTTGACATACATGTCGGCACCCTAAAGACATTTGGATGTTTGAATGAAACCATGGACACATTAGAAATTCTTACATCTGTGTATCTACGTAACCATGGTAAATACTAATCGAAATATACCGCTTGGCAAGAAAAAAATTCTCTTTAGCACGATCGGTTGAGCGTTAGACTAGTACGCCAGAGGTTACGGGTTCGAATCCTAGCGAAGACATTGAAATAGATAATGACCTCTGTTATATATTGTCGCCCATATAGGGACTCGGAAATAACTATTGACTTAGCCATGCCACACCAGCATCGCTGTAACCCTTGGAAACTCGAGGACGAGTTATTTCCTGGAGTTGGAGTATGTAACCCTGGTAAAATACTAGCCGCAATATACCGTTCGGCTTGCTCGATCGGTTGAGAGTTAGACAAGTCAGTCAGGAGTACAGGGATCGAATCCTTGCGGAGGCACCGGAATGAATAATGACTATCACATTTAAAAAAAAGAGGATCTTGATAAATGAGGGCTTTAAAGTAAAAAATAATGGTCCACGTTACCGGAAACAATATGGCATACGTAAACGTTCAAAGTAATTGTATAGACCCGCAATATATGTTCTGTCCTGTATGTTCAGGGAATCCAATGTCGTAGATGAGAGTGAAAACTCTTCAGATCACATTCCAGTGTTATGCATTGTAGATATCCCAACACATTATTCCGAGCGATGACGATATGGATTCCACTTGTCGCATTTCATCCAATGTAAACATACAGTGTTATTAATTCGCGACCTACTCATCTCGTCACCTACATATATGTACTACATTGAACCCAAGTTTAAACTATTGTTGTATTTTGCTAAACATACCACATAGATAATATACATATTGTCATTAGACGATTAACCGATTTCGTTCATGGAAAATATACCAAGCTAAAATGACTCCGTTTAATCTTTATTGACGCCAACTCATAGAATGTGTGCTGAAATCAATTAACATTGGATCCACGGGGCGCCCAGACCTTAATATTTCCTTACAATTTTGTTGTGATAGTATGATGGAAAACAAAACATAACAGAACTTTTGTTTTGAGAACGGATGAAAAATTAGCATCATATAGCTCGCATGTTTTGAATATATTGCAGTTCTATTTTTCATCGACAAGGTATTTTCGAAAACGGAATCTGTTCACTTGTGTTAAATTGTATTAATGCTGTTTTGATTTCAGGAATAACAGAAATACACATTCGGAACACCGTTTTTGTCAGAGCTATAAAGAAATAAAGTCTGCTGTGTTATTTTGATTGAGAAAGAAACAAAGAAAACAATCTAACAATGAACATTATGAAGTAATATGTACAGTATGTCTTTTAAAATTCCATCCGATGTGAACAAAAGGAATTTGTGTGAATCCCCGAGGCAAACCAGTATTAGAGCAAATCATTCAATTGTACAAAGTATCTTAACCGACAAATGTTCAGTAGAGAAAATCTAACGTACTAATATTTCTTATTATCCCCAGAACTCACACGACCTAAGGGGAAAAAAGACCCGGCCATTTAGGAAGGAAGACCTTGGGTTTCGGTGGCCGGATATGCCCCCGCCCGACATCACTCCACGGACTTCCCCGAAGGTCCGATTGAACGCCCTACGATACGGTCCAAAACGAACCACAGAATACCCTTGGGAGAGAGATATGAGACTCATGAGGAAGGGACGTATGTATATTTGAAGATGAAAAATCAAAATGGTTTTAGATATTCTTAACGAACATAGTGACCAGATTATAGATGTAGATATCTATGAGAATATTACCAACGAAAGAAATCACCAGAGTTGTCTGGAGAACCAAGCGAACAAAGTGATTCAAATTACTGTACAATTCAGAAATAGATACAGTATATGATAATGTCAAGTAAATTGTATCATGCAGCAGTTTCATCTAGCTTTAAAGACTCAGACACTCATGTTTTCAAATGAATGTACTTACTTATTTATAAAAAGTATACCTGCCAAACATTTAGTTTACGTTTACCAATAATTGTAATATCATCACTTTTTGATTATATCCATATTTCTCTTCGTGTATTAAACACTTCTTGTTTGATATATATACCGTTATCGTTAGAGCGAAACCAAGGGAGGTAATTCTCTGGGAGTTTAGAACGATTCCGATATTACGTTCAGTCGAACCTCGTTATCTTAAACTCGGCGGGTCCATGGAAAAAACTTCGAGATAACCGAGTATTCGATTTAAGCGAGTTCGAATGTTTTGTAGGCAGTGAGCGACGAAATGATTCGAATTAAATCAGGACATCGAGTTATACGAGTTCGAGAAAACGAGGTTCGATGTTTGGTCTAGGAAGCTCATGAGACCTATCTTAGGTTGATATAGGTTGAATCATTGTAAAACAGTGTTGTTGATATGTCATATTTTTTACCTCCTGTCCACAAAACACACAACGGTATATGTTATACAATACTTTTATAATATGTTGCAGACCCACGTCCGTTCGAGGATCATGCCCGCGAGACAGACCTCAAGGACAATTTATACGTCACAGGGATAGATCTGTACCTGGATAGAACTCTACAGGAACATCATACAGACAAGTTTGTGTTAAAAAAGACGGAGTCGAATGAATCGGAACCGGACTTAATTGTACGGCGTGGTCAACCGTTCCTGATTTGTGTGAACCTTAATGAAACATTCAACAGAGGCAAGCACGATTTACAACTGAGTTTCTCCACAGGTAAGCATAGTTGCAATTGGTCGTGATGTTAAGTGGTGTGATGGTTCGTTTAGTGTTTCAAAGGAGCAAAGTAGTTTTTACCAAATTTATGAAAGTTTATGGTAATACTAAAACATTTTAATCTAAATGTACAAAAATCGTTGTTGTCTACTAGACATGTTTTATCGGTATAATAATGTCATAGTCAATATCATGGGATGGTTATCGTACGTGGGCTGTATACAGGTAAATATTTGTAAACGCCGCGTTTGTCATCGCGGTTTTCATGTTCATAAGATGTACTTATTGGAACCAGTCTAGTTTCCGCACGTTTTCCAAGATATTATACACGTAATTTAATATTCTATATCATTACATGGTTTGACCTTTGTGAAGAACACGACATGAAACACTACAGCCGACTTACACTGAAGACGGACATCATCCTTGAACCATATAATGCACAGACAATGCATGCTTTCATGTAAACGGTGTAACTTTGATCGTTAATGTTAAATCCATCGAGTAAAGTACGATAGAAAGATGTGTTCCATTCTCTTCAACATGATAAACATTATATGATATAAAGACTATTATCTATAACAGGAGGTGATCGACCGACCCCCGGGGACGGTACATGGGTGTTACTGGATGTCAAAGACGAATACGATAAACACCGAAAAACACACGGCTGGCGAATGTACGTCATCAGATCTTCCAACAAATCGATGGTACTGGAAGTGACCACGCCCCCTACATGTACAGTCGGAGAATGGATACTAAGTATATTTTCTACAACATTAGGAACCTATGTACCTGCTAAGCGAGAGCTGAGATATGAATACCCCAGTGATTTCATCATCCTGTTCAACCCTTGGAATCCCCGTATGTTCATAATGTATTTGTTAAATTTATCAATATATAGAACATATTCTTTAATGAATAACAGGGATCAAATTTGTTAAATTACTGTATAAATTATTGTGAACAACCAAAATACCTATGATCACGGTAGTTGACCGGTAGGTTCCTGAGATGAAGCTTGGTAGAGTTTCAAAAAGAAAAGCATGGGGTCATTTCCCGACCACATGGATTTTCCTAGTATTCTCCAGTTTCCCCCAACAGTGAGATTCCTTCTATCTAGGCCAAGCAGATTGTTTATTATAAGATGGGTAACTGACTGGTTTCGCAATTGTTGCGAAATAAAGCACTAAATAAGTTCAATTTCGTATTTCAACAGAAACTTTCTCTAACTTTAGAACTTTAGATTCATGTGAAGTTTAACAATCCAATATAAACGGAGAAGGTCGGTATCCTTACCATCAATAAGCAATCTTATTGATTGTAATACAGAAGTATGATTAGGCAGTATTTTACTTTTTTTTCTAAGTTTTGCTGAAAGGAAGTACCTAAGCAGTGACAGAACGTTGACATTTAACCGAATCAGGATGTGAGCTAAGAGTCAAAATCGTAGTCCCTATGTAAAATATCTACTTAAAGTATTAAGTGCTCTTTGTAAAGTTTATAAGTAAAATCAGAGATAGCAAAGTATACTGTTAACGATTTGGTACAATTCATGTTAAAATAAACTTGATTTCGATGGCAGCGGATCAGGTGTATATCGACAGAGTTATCTGCCCAGAAGATGGGGTGAGAGGACACACCGAACCTATTGATGAGTATGGCTTCAATGACTGTGGTATTATTTTCATTGGAAGAGAAGACAAGATCATAGCCAAACCATGGAACTTTGGACAGGTAAGCTGAGTGACGTTGATAAATGTTATATACGTACCGGGGCCGTCATTATATGTTATATGAATGATGCTATATATATTGCGCATGTCTGAAGGTGTTTTGTTGAACCCACCACCAAGTTAGATTAAACGACGAACATCTGCTCAAAAGTGTGACTGGTCTATTCATGAAAAATGGTCACAGTTATATAAGTAAACACTTATAGAGTGATAAAACTTTTTACTTTTCGTATGCACGATGCATGATAGAGACGGGACGCAATTTCATTGCCAAGGAGTTTTCCTGAGCTTAACATCTATCCAAGCAGGATCAGTATAACGTTAATTGGACAATCTTTGCAGGTTTTGGTCCCCACTGACGTCGTTAGATTGTCCTCTAATTACATACCGATAGGAACACCACTGACGGCATTTTTGTCTTCTAAAATCGATATCATTATTTCAGGGATGCTTGCAGGTTCAGCACTGCACTCGACTTTCTACCAGTTGCAACTCCTATAGTTCAGAAATAACATGGTATTGGTTCAGAATACATCAGTGAAACTAGTCGATTAATTCTTAAAGTTTTCAATAGACAGTGTATGCATGTGCGTAAGAAATAAATAAAAATAATAAATTTAATCACTGAACATCACCGAACAGAATTCGGGTTACATCATCCAATTCATATCTTTTCAGTTTGACGAGGACATCCTGAAGATAAGCCTTCATCTGTTGAGAAAGGCGTTCAATTTTCAGGTTACAAGTCAGTTATCCGACCCTATACTGGTGTGCAGAGGTCTTACGAAGGTGGTGAGTATAGGGTGTGGGGTAAAAGGTCACCTATCCGAACCCTACTTGGTGTCCAGAGTTGAGTATAGAGGCTGATATAACGGGTCACCTTTCCGAACCCGACCTTGTGTCTAGAGGTCTCACAAAGTTGAAGATTACAGAACCTATGGTAAAAGATTAGTTACCCGTCTCCGACTTGTGTAGTTCATTAATCTCCATGTAAATCTTTCTCCCGTCAATTTTCCTCTAGTTTCATTAAATTTGAGTTTCAATTAAGATTAGGAGTCCGGTATTTTCTTTGTTCTTTTTAGTGGAAAATCAATCATTATATCATTTCGTAAGAAAGATTAATCCACTTTAACTATAAACGTCTCCAAGGACACTCACGACCCAGAATTAACCAAGCCCCAAAAGTATGTTTACGCAGTTATAACCCTGTAATTTTGGATACTCCCAGCTCAGCTGGTACCTCAGATTTGCATTCTACACATGCCTCGTTATTATCCCGCTACTGGTACATGTCCATACAACTGTTAAGATGTTCCAAATTATGAATTGTTCTAGAATGTAAATTTGATTGTAATATTAAACGACACTTTTAGTGATCACAGTTGAAATACACACTTCATGACAACTTCCTTTCAATACCAGATAAATAATGTGGACGGAACAGGTGTGATGACAGGAAGATACCGAGGGACGTTTGCTGATGGCATCAGGCCAACGGTGTGGATAGGCAGTCCCCGGATACTGAGAATGTATAGTGAGCAAAACGGTACACCGGTCAAGTACGGGCAGCCGTGGGTGTTTTCTGGTGTCTACACAACAGGTTAGTTATGATACATAAACGGAAGAAGCTAAAAACATCTAGAAGTTACTATAGCCGGAACTGTTGCTCTTGTTGCTCATAATTTTTATGCAGCAGACAAATTATATGGCTTTTACAGAAAACACATTGAACAATTCAAGAGGTCAAAGGTTGGAATGCAAACATGATTGTTCTCTTCCATAATATGAGTTTGTATGGCTCTATCTGAGGCGTTTGAGGCAACACCGTCATCTAGATGGTATCAGTTAATTGCTGTACTGTTCTGTTTTGGCTGGTGGAATTACTTCTGATTTGCTGATGTAACAATATTGGATGTTTCATAATTCTATGTTTTTGCCTTGATTCTACATTTTTGTTTGTGGAAAGTAAGTAATTGCTCAGGTGACATGGCTAGTGTCTACAAATCTTAGACTTTGCTGTACTCTTCTTGTTTAGAGTTAAGGACGGTTTGTTACTTGTAACATTTTCATCATGCTTCCTTCTTCTCTAGATTTGTAGTCTTTTGAAAACTTTCTGATTTTGCTATCTCTTTGGTTGTTTAGGAGTCCTATGTAATTTCTCCATATTCTATTATTGATCTGACATCCCCTAAACATGTCTGCTGTTCTTTAGCATTCTTTTGAGCAGGGTTTGAGATTTCAGTGTAAGAAGTGTAGAGCCGGCACTTTTACAGGTGTTGTTCATGTGCTCTTTACATTTGAGATCTTAGAGATTGGTTACATATATATGGATTGGGTGGGACTTTTGCCAGGATGTATTCGTTCAGCATGTAGAAACGTTCGTGTTATTTCTTTCTTGTACTGAGGATGCAACATACCCGTTTCTTGACCAGGTTTCTCGATTTTCATAATCATTTTGAAGTGCTCTGTGGTCTTGAATACTGATCGTTACATAAACAAAGACATTGTCTCATTACACCTTTATTTGAAATAAGAATGACATCAAATTAGTTTGTAGAGCACTTGGATTGCCGTGTCGGAGTGTCACAAACTTTGTTTCTGCTCACGACCCAGACCGGAATCTGTCCATCGACAAGGGATACACTATCGACCCATATACTGGCGTTGAGAAGGTGGTCGACACGCATGCGCTGTGGTGAGAAAAGCCTACTGTAAAAGAAAAGATTCAATGTTAAGTAAAAAAAAAAAAAATGAGAATACAATAATAAAAACTAAACAAAGCAAATAATAACAAATTCCGAAGGAGGATTGCAGTCAAAAGAATTTTGGGTGTGGCACTAGACGGGGCGCTGTCATTTTTAGTAGACGATTGGTACTATGGAATGCATAGTGATTGTTTTAGCGTTTCTATCTACACGAATGAAACTTATTTTGAAATGAAGAAAATTTTGTTGCTACACTCGTTTTGCTCCTGTCAAACACGAAATACTGATTACTCTTATCATTTATACTCGGGGAAGGGATGGGGGCGTCTAACTAAGAACTGCCTAGAAACTCAAACTTTGTAATTCAAAGATTTTAGAAAACAGTGTTTTGTAACTTTCTGCTTTAAGAGAGAAATAACTTCCTTGATAATAAGGAGGAAATTTAGGTGCTGTACTTCTTACAATAGATAGATATAAACTTTTCTCAGATCAAGAAGCGAACTGGTTTGTTTATTGTCAGTTCCTAAAATCAAGAGGAGTTATCTACCAAATTAGTTTTCAAGTATTTCAAGTCTAACGATTTACATATATGATGATAATTCATGTGTTTGTTGGAAGTTATGCAAACGTTTTAGAGATACATTTGTATACGCAAGAGAACTTATTCTATGTCCCAAGATATACAATCAAAATGACCACTAAACGTCGTATAAAGCACCGATTTTTGGTTTGGTTACTGTATGGGCACGAGTAACGTTGGAACATCGATTTCCTTTGGATTAATTATGGGTAGCACCTGGTATGCTTGCAACCGAACCAACAACAATATCATCAAATACAGCTTCATAGAATGTTTGCGTAACATGAAACATTTGAATGTTGATTATTTTTCTCTTCTAAACAATGACTGTAAACAGCAACACAACTGATGTATTCGATCATATTGCAGTATCATTTATCAGTAAACATTTTGTAGTATCATATGTATAAAACGAATAACAATGTATAATTCACATTTCGTGTTTTGTGATATAGAGAAAAATAGTACATTTGTATAGAATTGATCGATGCACATTGTTTTCTGGCATATAGTTGTACAAAATGAATTTGTTCTGTCGAAGTAAGCAAAACTTTTCTATTAATTGATGGAAGGGATTTCCATGTGTGGAATGAAGTATGGATGAAGAGGCCTGACCTCCCGGAAAAGCCAGATAATTTGAGTGGTTGGCAGGTACTTGATCCCACTCCACAGGAACCTTCGGGACGTAAGTATAGCATTGTCGGAATACAAATTTGACTGGTAGTACGTACTCCTTTTTTGCAGGATTCTATAACTGCACACAAATACATAAAAAAAACAGATGACCTGGCACTGTGATAAATACAATCTAAGTCTAAGCGATTGTCCTAATATATTGCTATAACGAAAATAAGATTCCATAGTGTAATTTGATTGTCTGTATCGATTTTCATTACATACAGACATATACGTGTGTGGTCCATCTCCCGTGACAGCCGTAAGGAAAGGCTTGTGTGACCTTTCTTACGACACGGCCTTCATATTCGCCGAAATTAATGCGGGTAGGACAATTTGGCAGAGACGTGCTGGAGTAAACTGGGTGAAGATCAAAGAAAATTCAAATATGTATGTAAATATAGTAACAATATCAGGTACATGTACGTAAACAATATCGGACACATGTAAGATATATTATGGCATCTTCGAAAGACATAATCTGCATTCTTAGAAAAAGCCATGACTAAATCAAAGGTTCATTGTTTGTCATTTGATTGGTTGCAGACATTGTAAGATTAGGTCACGAGTTTTTGAAATTAAGAGTGGAGTGGATGGTAGAATTAGAGGTTTCTAGTAGTTATTTGATGTACATTTATTTCTTAATTCAAATAACACCATGTTTATATGTCTGAACTGAATCACTATTTCATTTTCAATACTATTCATGTTTAGTTTGAAATTCAAAATTGATTATTCACGGAAATTTCTAAGACATCGTGTTTTTAAACTTGTGATTTGTAAACAAACATCCAATTCAACGCTGAAAATGATATAATTCTACCTTAATCTAAACAAACCATCAGACGAAAGTACATGTCATTTTGTGCTGTCTTTGTAAAGATACAGAATTTCGTTCACTTACTACAAGTTCAACATTTTAGTGCCGGTAAAAAGATAAGCACAAAATACCCGGATGGACGTCCGTACACTGGAGAGGACACGACATCTAAAAGATACGACCTGACACACCTATACAAGTACCCGGCAGGTAATGCTGTATAACTTCTTTTTAACCATTAACTTTAAGTCTTGATTTAGCGTAAGATCAAAGAATATGAAATAAAGTATGCTACGACGCTTGTATGTTTATTTATTAGCGATTTTTCTTATTGAAATCAGGTGAGGTCGTGCCTTGATATCCTTGTGTATTTCGACCCCCTAATTCCGTTCTTTCCAATATGGGGTTCTATGTGGGGCCTTCTACTACTGGATGCCCTCTTTATCTTTACCAAGCAGATATTTTCTGTACTGTTCTCTGACCGTCCCTTCACTCCCCCCTTATAGCAGAGAACATTCTCTGAACATCCTATGCAGTGATTCCTCTGCAGCCTAATTCTTCAGGAAAGATCCAGCTGTGTCTAGTTTTTCCATGCATTCTGGCAACAATGACTCATATTTCTTCATAAACATAACTGTATATCTCCTCTATATCACTGCTAACTAACTAGCTTATGCCCCGTGTCTGAACTCAGCATTCCGATAGTTGAATCCACTTTCAAGCCGCTGATCTGCCTAGACTACTTCTGAAGTAGCGAATGACTCTTTTTTACCTGTTTCTCCCAGCGTAAAACCTAGCTGTGTATTTCGCGATTGACGCTGAACAATGATATATTTTTTTCGCACAAGTCCTGGGACAGATTATTAATTTTTCTAGTTCTATATTATTTTGCAAAATAGAATTCCTCGACATCTGCAAATTATTTGTTCGTTTTCATTCAGTCGGAACAGGTGGGTGATTTTCCCTTTCATCGTTATAAGTAGCTACTATGCAATATTTGCCTCTTTGCAGAATGTTATTTAATTTTTTAACAAATCAGGCAGTGAAGAGTCGGAGATTGTCATGAGGACTGCTTTACGTAGTATGAAAGTACAACGTCTGTCGGAGACCACTGAGGTTGCAAAACAGGTATGTGCCATGACAAGTATTTAACATGGCAGGTATGTGCCAAGACAGGTATGTGCCATGACAGGTGTGTGCCAAGACGGGTATGTGCCGTGACAGGTATGTGCCAAGACAGGTATGTGCCATGACAGGTATGTGCCAAGAGCGGTATATGCCATGACAGGTGTGTGCCAAGACGGGTATGTGCCATGACAAGTATTTAACATGGCAGGTATGTGCCAAGACAGGTATGTGCCATGACAGGTATGTGCCAAGAGCGGTATATGCCATGACAGGTGTGTGCCAAGACAGGTATGTGCCATGACAGGTATGTGCCAAGAGCGGTATATGCCATGACAAGTATGTGCCAAGACAGGTATGCGCCATGACAGGTATGTGGCAAGAGCGCTATATGCTATGGCACCAATGACACCATATTGATAAGAATCATTCGTTAGAGTTTCAACATAATTGAAGTCATCTTTGTACGACATATCATCAACAAAACAGTAAAATGTAAAATTAGTAAAATTATCTATATTTAGAATTAATCTACACAAATGCAAGAAAAGAAAAGAGACCTTCCTTATGAACATAACTCTAATAATGTTCGTCATTATGCTTTCAATTAGCCATCAATTTACCTACCTTGCCCTTTTTGTCACCTTTGTTCATGAAATGCTCCACCCATCATGACTGTATTATTTAAAGTATATTTTGGTTTATAAACACACAGTATGTTATCATATATTGCATGCTACATTATAGAAACAAACTTAATGACGATAAAATTGTTTGTGTAACCATACTTTTAATGAAAAATGAAATGAACGGAATGTGGTAAGGATAAATACAGAACGAATTTATTCTTTCAAGTAGACATAATAGGTATATATGATACATTATAAGAGCACATTCGAATTTAAGATATACTCATCAGTTTACCTAAATAATGTTAGAATTGTATCAGAGTTATGTCCCTTACTTCATGTGCTGTGTAATTAAAGATTGAAATCGAATTACTTTTTACTTGCGACAATATTTCATATCGTCACATCACCTAAAACTCGGCTATACAAAAAAAATCAAAACAGATATTCATGCTGTCTGTCTTGCTTTCGCTTACTTTAGGATACATCCCTGACCGTAAGTAGAATCGTGCAGAAGAACTGTCCAAATATTCCGTCTTGGCGGTTTTCGTCCAACCATACTCTGGTGATACTTAATAGCGTATACGCTGACATATTGTTATGAACATTTAAGCGAAGCATAGCTCTTTGCCTTAAAAACACACCAAGGAACAAAACTGTCAAATAATGACAAATGAGTCGTAGTGTTATTTTAACTTGTTAAGGCTCTTGAGAACAGAGCTTATGTAAAGGTTCTGTTGTCAGGTTGTGGTAGGTTCAGCTGGTCTTTGATGCCATCTTCAATTTCCCAGAAAGTCTTGGAAGAGTGTCGCAACAAGACATGAACAACACATGAAATAATTTATGCATTATGTTGACTCTGTCTTCTAAACATGCAACCTATTGTCCTGATCAATAACATTTATTTTTTTCCAACATCAGTCCGCAATTCTTACTGTCAAAAATTGGCAACATTATGAACATATGTATCAACAGAGGCAACAATGCAAGCCCGAGTGCTCGAACACATCACAGATATAATGATTCATTATAACATCACCCAATACATTGCTTAAGCATTGAATTTCCGACATGATATATAATATTGATATTGTTTTATTAATATTAATATATTGTACCGTTTCATTTACGGTTTGAATGCAGGTAAATTTTGCTTCCATTTATTGTTTTGATGAAAAGTAAGTCGTTGGCACTAGAATACAATTTTCATTTTCGACATTTATAATTTCACATAGAACTATTATGATCTTTTGAAATTATGGCGTTTAAATTTCTGTCTTCAGGACATTGTGATGGAGATCCTGTCGGATCACGCAGAGATGGTAGGCTACGATGTCTATTTTACAATCAAATTGACCAACATCAGTAGACAAAATGAAGAGCTGACTATCGGTAATCTAGTAATCACTGTGTCCAGCCATGTGTACACGGGTGGGGACACCACACCCCTGAAGAAAGTTGTCTACAGCGGCCTTCACCTTAAATATAGACAAGGTAATGTATGCTTATTCGTAGTGGTTAATATGTATAACTCTTGCTAATATGAAGAGGTCATGATGCATTTCACTGTAGGACTTTGATGTCACTTGGTGGAATGTGGTATGTTCTCTTCAATATTCTGTGTAAAGTGTGGGTGAAGGTCAGATAGTCAAAATGAAATTTAAATTCAGAGAGGAATTTTTGACAAGAAAGTTTTCAAAAAAATAATTTCGTTAAGAAAAGTACATGTCTTCGTTTTTACTACAAGTAGCATTTGCCAAACTGAAAATATTCATCTCCATTAATTATTAAGAGTTTGTTTTTTTCAATAAATGTAATGTTATAAAATCATGATGAAACAATAGGAAAAAGCGTTGTGTACTTTGAAATTGTTTAATTTTCATTTGACTTTACCAACTGAAAACTACATAACAACTAAAGTTGAAACTTTTACAAAAAAAACTTAAATGCTATATATTTGGCAATGTTCAGAATTTCAGTTGATTGGGGTTTCAAAGTCAGCTAGAGATTACCTTACAAACTGAAATATGCATGTATGTACACCCATTATACAATGTTTGCTGTCTCAGAATATTCCTATTGATATTATATATTTTATTCTAGTATTAAGTTACCAGCTAAGGGTTTCACCGGCAGACTACGACCTTAGTCTGAAACCTCTATTGATATTTGAAGTCGAGGCAACAGCGAACGTAAAAGAGACAGGCGGTATTGTAGTAGCCAGTCTTGACTACAGTTTAACGCCCCCTACCGTCGGAATACAGGTCAGTATTGATATATATATTTCATGAAATCAGTAGCAGTAAAATGCTTTTTACAAATTGATAAATAAATATATAATTAAATGAATAAATAAATAGTACATCAATTTTAGTGATCGTGGAACAGACAATATATTCAAGCACCTTTTGTAAAATATTTTACTCCAGTGCTATTTTCCTATTCCATTCTCTCAGTTGGCTTTATAAGATGCCGTGCATATTGCGCAAAACATGATGTATATCCGTTTAGAGCTTTCTGAAATTTTATTTGTTGGTTCCCATGGACCTTAGTTGTGCGAAAGAAAAAGTCATGACCGTCAGACAGCCATCTTTAATTTGACGGTAGTAGTTTGTTATCGCTATCTCTACAGAGTTTGAATCTTTCTCAAATTTTATATTCAAGGACTCCTTGGTCTTTTGTTGTACTCTTTAGATTTTGGGATTTATCGAAAAAGGAAAATTGCTGACAGTTTGCCATCATGGATTATAACTCTTAAATTTTACTATCGTTATTTCTTAAAAACCTAAAAAAAAAAAAAAAAAAAAATCAGATTTTCGGTCTGATCAGAAAGACAAAATGGCTGACAGGCTGCCATCTTGGATCGTGACAATGAAAGTTGGTAATAGCGATTTCTTCCGAAGAAGGGCATGAATCGATCTCAAAATTAATATATTTTTAGTATATGTTTACCATGGTCCCTAGATATGCCCTTTTAAGAACAAACCGGTAGAATGATCGTCATTTTTATTTGACATTGCAAGTTTGTTATTGCTGTCCCTTGAGATGTACTGGATGAATTTTTCTCCAATGTGTAGGTTTCCGTTTTTCCTTTGTTGTGCCCTTTCAGAAAAGTAAAAAAAAATGACTGTTGATGTTACAATTGAAATCATTATTGCTATGTTTTCACGGAAGTTCTCAGATTCACAAAATTAAAAGCAAATAAGAGGGAAGAAGAGAAGAGAAGTGAAAATGATAGTTTTGAAAGAACAAATACAAATCAAATTATGGTGGGGTCCAAGATCCCTCTAGGATGTCTTCCTTTGCGAAGTCATTGTTGACATTCGTCACTTCTAACCACTTACCTGATCATCGTCTGTTTTTACCACCTCCGATACGATAGAAAACGAACTTCTGTAATGACATTTTTTCTGTTTAAACCGCATTTCAGACACAAAGTCACTGTAAATTAAATGAGCCGACAGATGTGCATTTGACCCTTCGGAATCCCTTCCATGACACGTGGTTGACGTTCTGTGTGGTTTATATAGAAGGAAATCTGTTCGGAACATATCCACCTCTACCGCAGCCGTATGTAACTATTTGATACATATTATATATGTTTTGATGATTACTCGATAATGTTTATTTTTAGAAAAAGGAGAGATTAAGTTTGAAATTTGATTAAGAGGGAAATGCCGAATTAATATATGAGATATCATAAAGTGTTGCGACTACTCTTCTTTGTAGATGTTCCTCTGTTTGCATTGCTGTAGAATATTTTCAACATGAACAAGTTTGTTTGTAGGAACATAAAACCACATGATCGGTGGCAGATGACGCTCCCAGTGACAGCAAATAAATCAGGCACAGGAACCTTGTTCGTGTCGTTCGATTGCAAGGAAATACCAGGAATATTTGGTGTAACAAAGCTACAGGTGTATGAATGACACTCGTTACACAGCATGTGCATATCATCAAACAAATGTCGTGTATGTGTGATACTCGTGTGTAAAGATACACCAAACATACACTTGTTACAACATATGTGGTGTATGGGTGATACTCCAGAGTTTAAAAAACCATACAAAGACCTGCTACAATATATGTGGTGTATGAGTGGTACTCGAGAGTGAAAATGACCATACAAAGACCTGCTAAAACGTATGTAGTGTATGAGTGATACTCGAGAGTGAAAATGACCATACAAAGACCTGCTACAACATATGTGGTGTATGAGTGATACTCAAGAGTGACAATGACCATACAAAGACCTGCTACAACATCTGTAACGATTTATTATGCAGACACGTTATAATATTTCACTGAACCAAGTAGATGGCTCAACGGAACCATAAGTGACACTCGAATCTAAGACAACTCCCACAAATGCGCGGTGTCAACTTCATTTGAAGCAAACATTAACATAGGTCACATTCCGGACATACCAGGTTGATTGTAGAGGTATAACGTATAGCTAGTAATTTTCACGGGTGAAATTTTTGCGGATTTTTTGTTTGAACGAACGAATTATATTCTTATGAATTAGATTTTCTCCATCTGGATGTAAAATTAAATATAATACACCTGTGTCTCATTATGTCAAAAATTACATTTTCGTAGTCACGTTAATGTACTGCGAAATGGCGAAAATATCATCCTTACTAAAATAACTGGCTTTACGGTATATATTTAAAGTTTGTGAGTAAGTATGTTTTACCATATTCGCACACGTTTTGATATGTAGGTAATATGATTAAATAGTTTATTTTCTTAAGCATGCTGAAGATCACGAGGCGTTACATTGTTTACAAAATGACGTCATATGTAAATCAGGAAGCTCCGTCCACTGCCTATATTTCTTTAATAATTGTTCTGAATTAAATATGTAACTTTCATGAGAAATAAATTTCCGTTGGCCACTTTAACAATAAAAGTGTGCAATTTTCCGCCACAAGTTAAATTTGAGTTGCTCTTTTATATGCAAATCATGCATCGTATCATTAAGACGCTTTCTGTCGTCTCTTACGCCAATCGTTACATGCTAAGGATGGAATAACAAACAATAACATCATTTAGAAATACGATTCTTAGAATTTTCAACTGAATCATTCTAGTCAATACTTACCGGCAATACGCATAATTTCTATTTTCTTATTACACATTATGTATTTATTTAGTAGTTATATCACGAAATGTTATGGGGTAGTTTCTTTTGTCTTTTAGATTTAACTATAAATATATAAAATATTGAGTTCATATCATAATATGCACTATGCGTGGCTTCGGTCAATAATAGCGACCTCAGTCTAGGAACATTAATTTGTCCGCTGAGTCGTAACCAGTAAATAAGGTCAGAATGTTTTAGCTCTCCAAAATGCCCTCAAATTCAAAGGATGATTATACGCTGAAACTTTCTTTCCGTTCTCGAATCTTTACTGTATTGTCTGGACAACGGCATGTCTATAGTTTAATCCTATGGAATTAGCCCCAAGTTGTCAGGTAGGTATACCCGTGCATTCTTGAAAACCATGTACGAACACATGTACCTGTAGCAAATGTCACAGTGGCATTTTTGATATCATCAAGAAATATTTCTGTTTGTAAGTACTATTCCGTGTATAGGTTTAGAATATGTTCATATGTTTATCACTACTTGAAATCTCATATTTATTTACGCCAAAAGAACGATGTAAACAATGACACAATCAATCGCAGTTTGTCATGTACCTTATTGATCAGATGTAGGGGGTCTTCGTTATCTCGATCAGAACAGTATTAGAGACAATTTTAATCATGTTTATTAAGCTTCATAACTCGAGTTTCCTCTGCCTCCTGCACTAGACTTTAGAACATGTGATGAGTGAAAATATATGTTATAGAGAGCCATACTAGACATGTCTAGTGTATGAGCCGAAAAATGATCAGCTATATAATTTGTATTTCGGGTAATTTTTGTAAAGGTCAGCCGTTCTTTACTTGGAAGCATTTTGGTGGACGACTGTTTGGATAGGATACTAAGGAAATTAAGTCGATAATTTTACTTGGCATCTCATTCGTAACTAGGAAAATTGTGAACATCATTTTGTAACTTTTTGTATGTTACTAATTGCTGCATATATGCATGTACTTGTCTACTGTATATACATGCAGGTATAAGACATCATCACATAGGATATATATATATATATATACTACTTTTAAATGATAATTCGAATTACTAAGTCTTTTTTTCAATTCTACTGTGACATTGGTCATTTAATTGCTGTCGTACAATCAATAATTTCATATACCTTTTAGCATCAAAATGATTTGAAAATTGGCATGGGTAAACGTGACTGTGCTACCTCTCCGAAAACCGAGCACAGGTTTTCGGCAACTGTAATACTTCTCAGTTGCGACGCATTTTATAAATAAAATCTCATTTATACATCAGAATTCAAATACTAATAAATAAATAAGATATATAGATATAGTATTCAAGGCTAAGTCAAGAAAACGTTTTCCGTTATTTCTGTAACTCGAGAAGAAATACTTTTTACCTACAAACAGCTGATTTTCAGCAGATGAGTACTTCTTTCCAGTTTAAATACCTTGAATGTTACAATGTAAAGCGTGATAAACGTTGTGAATATCACACATATACTACACGAAGCTTTAATACCTGCCTCCCCTGCTCCCCTGCGTGATGGAATCGTCTGTTTACTTGACCTTTATCTGAACAGCTGAGTGGGCCCTATACATTGTAAGTACAGCGTGTGATTCGAGGACCAGCGTAAAGGTTAATATTAAGAACACTCAGGTAGGACCGTAACAACTCACAATGTGTGTTTTCAGTCAACTTGATCTTACTTTTATCCATTTTCTTACAGGGCTGACTAGATTACAGAGATAAGGGGCAGGTAGATTAGTATTTCTCACAGTTTTATATACACTAGGTTACCGAACGCTGTGCACTGACACCAAATACTGGCGTCACAGACTCCGCTAGAACAAAACGAGTTCATTATTTAGAACATTACATCAGTCTTTCACATTTCAGGCTTGTCAAATGCGTACGCTTCCCTAGTGACATTAAGTGCATTAACAGTAACAAGCTCCGTTTATGTGAAAATATCTCGTAATGCCGAATTCTCACATGCCTGGTTTTCAGTAGTACATTGCTGTTTTCCCCTTACTGTCATTAAAGTATTATAACATAAAATATTAAGGATAACTAATCTTTATTAAATTGGTTAATTAACTTGTTGATTTATTTAATTTGAAAACATTTAGTTTTACTTATAATGAATAGATAATGACGCAATTTAACCTGAAGATTTCAGAATTGTCTTACTTCACAACAATCATATATCATGTTGGTATGAATAATTGCGAAGGGGATGTGGTGGGGTGATGGTTATGATTATGTAGGCAGAGGAAAACCCTAAGGAAGATTACTTTTTCTTGTCCAGTCGGGGAATCAAACTTTGGTCGACGAGCTGAAGGATTGGTGCACAATCTACTGTACCAATCAACCACTCGAAATTATTCCATAATGAAACATTGTTGATTATATCTAATCTATGTCACACATTTGATAGCTTCATTTTGACAAAAGATTAATCTTAAGATATAAACATATGAAACAATTCATATTTTTATGAATATTTTTATTTTTCTGAAAACTAAGTCAAACATTTAAGTTGTAAAGTTTGCGTAATAACCTTGTTGCAACGTTGTGACAACATCCATAGCAAACCTCAAGTAGGTTTGAAAAAAAAAAAAAAAAACAATCACACAACGTTGGTTATAGGTTGTGGACGTCCGGCCGGGCACACTGCCCAAAGGGATTTTTAATTTGGATATTTCTTTGAGAAAACCACAATAATCCCAGTGCTGATATATTTTGCCAGCAGATACCATGCATGTAGTTCTATAAGCATTCCTCTTTTAAACGACCTTTCATATATGTGAAAAGAACACGGATTCAGCTGTGTTAAAGACTTTAAGAATCGTCCGCTCAAGTTCCGGATGACTCGGAGTCATGATATTTAGCCAATTGGTGCTCGGGATTAAGTGCAATAGCCTTTGCCTAACTTGAAACAAAGGCCCAAGCGAATTTATGCCATGGTGCGGCGTCCGTCATCCGTTCGTCTGACCGCCGTCAACGTGTGTGTTTAAATAACTTCTTCTCAATGTAACCAAAAGGCCTAGAAACACGATAATCATATGGAAGGATCATATCCTCAACGTTACTGGTGTTCAATGTGTTTAAACATTCATAGAGTTTCTTTTCAATACCGAGTAGGCCTGAAATCACGATATGTGTTTGAAAAGTTCTTTGGATGAAGGCAAACGAAGTTTACAATAAGAAATGACTTCGAATTGTTAAGATCTTCAAACACCTTCTTCTGAATGACTAGAAGGCCAAGAATAGCAGTATTTGGTTGGTAGGTTCCTATAAAGCAAATAAACATAAATGACCTTTAACTTTATTTAAGGTCACAGAGGTCATGATTGTTAAAATCTTTAAAGTACGCCTTTGGATTAACCAAAAATGTATGAAAGTTTGATATTTGGCTGGAATGTTCCTGTAATAAAGCCCAACAAAAGATGAGAGAGAGAGAGAGAGAGAGAGAGAGAGAGAGAGAGAGAGAGAGAGAGAGAGAGAGAGAGAGAGAGAGACTTGGTTGATATTCAAAGTTACAATTTGTTAAAACTTTTAAACAACTTCTTAATAACCGAAAGTACTAGAATCGTATTTGGCTGGCAGGGATGGATAGCAACGATGTGAAATGATAATTTTAGGGGAAAAACATAGAATACCAGATTAGCGATGCAGAAGCATTGACCGCAAAAGGTCAAAAGGTTAATAACCTTAATAAATCGTAGTTGTTGGCAGCTTCTTGTTTCAAATGCATTTACTGCCAGATGGCACAGTACTACCATGCACATTCATAATTAACTTTTACATTGTCAATCAAACTTTTGGATAATAACAATCTTATTATAATTATCCATGTTTAATTTATAGGAGAAACTGTGAAAATGGCAAACGTAACACCAAGATACACACCAGGTGAGTATAAGACGTGACTTCAATAGATGAATTATATATATATATATATATATATATATATAGAATGCATACAAATCGACCTGTATGTAAACTACAGTAACTTCCTAACATTATAAACACACGGTATCGGAAATTATATTCATGATATGAAGCAAAGTTAAAACGAAAACACGAGCAATGATAAAACTTTTCTCTGTATTTTAATTTGATCTGATACATTTCTAGGATAAAGAAAACGAAACACTTTCGTACCTCGTCATCTCGAACACCTATACATCGAAGACTTCGCTTTATTCGAAGTATTTCGTCAGTTTCGGCCAAATGTCACACCTAACACCCGAAATCATTTAAATTGTAAACTCGGATAACTCTTCCCACAATCCCACCGACTTCGAGAAAATGAGGCTCAATTTTACTGAAATATGATAAATTTTGAATTGTTCTGAACAATTTATTGCCAAACGAGTCGGAATTTGAAATATGTGATCGTTTGTACTACAGGTGAAATAAAGGAGGACGAAATTATACGAATTCCGGGAAAGGACGGAACTGTAAAGGAAATGATGAGAGTAGAAGGTTTAATGATACCTATTCATATGATAAAAAGTGGACACATTCCTGATATCAGGGAGAACGTGAAGAAAGTTCGCGACATGAAATGTCGGGATGACGATATTTTTCTATGTGCCTACGCTAGATCAGGTTAGTGATAATATTTTGATAAAAATAAGTTGTAATTACAAATATTCGTGAGCTTGAGACTTTGTTTTGATTTTATAATAGGATTCAAACACCATGTCATGCAATATTTTGTATATCTCAACAGTTGGTAGCGTGCGTATGATATAAGAGAAAAACACAACCCTTGCTTAATAGCAAAACCAACTATATTCTTTCCCGCTTATAAGCAATTCATTTTGTAGAGAAATTTCAAAATAGAAATGTGTAGGGTAAATTTGTCATAAGTTTTTTTTATCGTGGGTTTGAACGTGAATTAAAGTTTTATGTCTGACTTTAGTATATAAACAAAACATCACAACATCTCTATATATATATATTTATATCGTCTTTGTGACCTTACATAATGTTATCCAAATGTTACAGGTACTCACTGGGTCTGGGAAATCACAAACATGCTAACTACAGGAAAACCTGAATATCTTAAACAACCGAAGGAGGCAGCCATGTTAGAATTCAATTACCCTGAAGAATTTGACGCTATTCCTTCACGGAGAACCTTAAATACACACTGGCCCCTTCGTCTTCTGCCGACAGATGTTAAGGCAAAAAAACTTAAAGTCATTTTCATCCAAAGAAACCCAAAGGACGTCATCGTTTCATTATATCATTTCTTGAAGAAAGCAAAAGATGCGGCATTCAAGGGATCGTTTGATGATTTCTTTATGCTTTTTACAACAGTTGGTAAGAGGCATATATACAATGCATGCTTGCTTGGAAACATTATGTATATTCTTTGTGGGAAGCAAGATAGTCATGCTAGACCGAAAGTAGGATATGATTCAATATAATTAATAAACATAATATTTATATATTAGACTTTATATCCTTTAATATCCAGAGTTGTCACTTTATGATTCACCACGAATCACTTTTTATGACCTTTTCTTGGTTATGGCCAATAGCATCAACAATTTCAATGCTTCTCTTGCGTAAACTTCTAGATGCATCAATAATAATTCACGCATTTCATCGAATTTTAGCAAACGAAGGTTCATCCGGTCAAGATCAGTTATGATGACATGCTTTTAATAGATAATAATTGTTTTAAAATAACTGTATAGAATGTTATGTTGAAACTGTATTTGGTATCATAGACCAGAAGTAGGTAGGGCTAACAAAATTTCCGACGTTTGGAATCAATCACGAAACTGACATAGGATCATTCAATTCTGTCGATAAATATTGTAAAGGAAATATGAATAATTGTCCGTATATTGCTGCAGGTTTAATGGTTAACTGGTTTGACTATACCCTGGAGGCAGAGAAAGTCCAAAAAGATAAGACGCTTGATATCCATGTGGTCTACTATGAAGAACTAAAGAAGGTATAAATGCTATGCTTTTACAGGAACCGGATATTGCAGTATTGATAATGATGACCGACAGGAAAAACGAGGTCACGTTTACTAAATCTCCATAGAAAAGAAAATCATTAGTGGTTGGATTTAATCTGATTTGATTTTGACTTGTGCAGATTTGATTTGATTTTACATGACATGATTTTCTTTGATTCGATTTAACTGATTCGACTTGACTTGATTTGATACGCCACGACTAGACTCGACACGACACGACTAGACCTGGTACGACACGGCGCTAAGGAGAAAGGGGCGGGTGTGGACTTTTTTCAGGATTCAAGCAACTAAATCAATCACTATTGGTTATTTCTTAACATTTAAGCTAATATCATTGATATTTGAAGTTCAAAAGAAGTGACAACCGTCTAGATTCATAGAAACACTCCCTCTAAGGCTACAGATGGCATACTTTAGTAGGTCAAACGGCATCTTGGACTGTCGGGGGACATTAGGAAGATGAAACAGAAGCCCAGTCACTTATTCCGTTTATAGGGAATGCATTAAATGATCTTTTCATTTCGTAATCTGACCACTTGTACATCCATTTCATAACGTAACACACTTCAAGGACGATGTCAAATTAATACTATCTATTCAGTACAGACACTCACGTTGAAATAAATGTCTCATTTCTAACAAATTATCTTTAATGTTTCTATCATTTTTAATTTGGTCATTGCACTGTGATATAATGTGTGTTTCAGAACCCTGTCCTTGCAATAAAACGGCTTTCGGAATTCCTCGGCACGAACTGTGATGATGAATACATCACAAAGGTGGCAGAAATGTGCACTTTCAAAGGAATGAAAAAAGCAAATGAGGACGTCAAAGAAATGGACAAATTCATGTTTGAGGAAGATATGATGAAGGGGCATTATCGGAAAGGTAAACGCATAACTTAATGACAACATAATGCTAAGTTTCAACATTACGGGATAATTTATCAGAAACACCATGTGTACATCGTCCACACAACTATACAAAACATGATGGCATTGATCAAGCATGCATAATGTTTGTTCATTCGTTGTGATTCGGTTACAATAGACTTACAATCTTCGTAATTGTGAAATAAAAAGAAAATACCAACATGCCAACATAATCATAATTCAAACTCAAATTCCATAAAACTACTGCAAAATATAAACAAAAGAAAGATTTTTGCATGGAGACACCTTAAAAAGTGAGAGGAGAATAACTCAAGTTGTTACGGAAGGTAACCGTTTTTTGCTTCATCGACGACACCCGCCATAAAAACCTTGGTTAATTCAAGTAAGTAATGTCACGTTCTTAAATGAGAAACTGTATTCAACAACAAAATGAGCCTGGTATACTTACGATGGAATTTGGACCCAGAGAGAACATTAATGATTTGATAGTTACAATCAAAGCATGACTAGATAATGTATTGTTTGAATCGGTGTAGTGTTTTTAACATTTACTTTTATTACCTAGATGATCGTTCAGATGATATTAGTAAATGTAGAGTTGATCAGTGTTTGCGGGGGTGGGCGTGTACATAGATCCGGTGTTCAAGGAATAGATGACTGCTCTTTATAAATGCAATGCATGTACATATAGTTTCATACCATGATCTTAAACAGATAGATTAACGTTTGAAATAAATATGACTGAAGACTTTTTGGAAACATATATCTTAAAATTAGTCATAACCTCTTACATTGAATACCTTAATCGAAAACTGAAATCGCCAAAGTGTTTCTATCGTTCGTATACTGTACAGCATAATGCATAAAACATGCGTACATTTTTTGCCCGTCGCTTGTTTTATAAAGTTAAAAGTTAATTATTTTGGTTCAAACGGATCTTGGCGGAAATGAAAGTATGTCAGTAGAGTCAGTGGTCGATATAATGAGATTTCACTATGATATGAAAAATACGTTTATAAACGTTTAAAATTATACCGAAAAAATTGAAAGACATCCCATGCAACAAAAAAGAAAAATCGTAAAGATGAGCGTGGGATCCATTACATCAAGAGCCTGTATTTAAATAAAGTGTTTTTTCTTGAATGGTCTTGTTATCATATTGATTTCTTGATCACGAAGATGTATTACGTTGTTATATCGATAAATGTTCACATTTTTAACAATTTTACTTTTCTGTGTTAAGGCCAAATTGGGGACTGGAAGAACACGTTGACGGTGGCACAGAGTGAACAGTTCGACAAAATATTTGCTGAGAGGATGAAAGACAGCTCTTTCAAGTTTGACTTTTCAGAGTAATTTTCAAACAGTCATTTGTCATTATCATATGTAAAAAAAACAACGATATATGTGGAACCGAAAAAGATTTAACACCTAGGTTAATTAGTGAGGTTTTGCTTTTCGATATGGAAACATATCTTGTAGCTGAATTATCAGACCACTGATAGATGATAGAAGACCAAATGAAAGATAACGTGACTGTCAATAAGTTTTTATAACTGTTAAAAAAGTACAGTTTTATCCAACTGAACAGTCAGAACAGAGTTGGAAAGTTGTTACAATGTAGGTGGTCGGGTAGCGCAGTGGTAACACACTTGTCTTTCACCTTCGTGTAAGCGTCCGGTGTTCGAATCTCCGAAAAGAGGTGAAAAATTATGGGAGTCACCTGCCCGACCACATGGGTTTTCCTCGGGTACTTTTTTTTCCCTTTCCAAGTAAGCCAATCGCACGCTTTCCTCTGGGTCAACAAGAGTGGTTGATGTCAGCTGAATTGATCAAACCTCGTTATATTTTATAAATATATATTTTCTTCTTTGTGTTATGTATGCATAGATATCTATGAACAAAACCTCGTATATGCATTTATGTATTACATAGCAAATTTTCACGGTGTAACTATTCTTAATTTTGAAGAATTTTGTAAGGTACAATATGATTTCGATGTTGTGTGCGTGAGATTACATGATGATGCAGATAAAGGTGTGTCATCACTTATTATTTTCATTACATTTACTATGGTTAGAAATTACAAAAAACAACCAGTTTTGAATTGTTAAACTTTATTCAGTAGACTAACGACTTGTATTTTCTGAATGTGTTTATATACAAATGTACGATTTGTATGAAATAAATGACAATGACAAAATCTTATCACTTTTCTTTTTAACATCATTCTTTGAGTGTAATTGTATAGCCAGTGATTACCACTAAGGTATTTTGCATTTTATTCTGTTGGAAAGACTACACTAGACGAAGAGTTAATTCAACTTCAAAATGTATAAAAGACAGAAGTACAAGTTCAAGTCAGCGATGAAGAATGTTTCCATTCTCCGCAATTTATACAAGAATGTTTCTTATGAATAAAGGAAGGTAATCATTGTACACTCATTGAAATGGTAAAGCAAAACGGAGCACTATACTGAAATTAGGTCTCTCATTAAACTGCAAAACAGGTGTAATAATTCTGATCACGAATCATATCGGATCCAGTCTAAAACGGATACGGGGAAGTATTTCGGCGATATGCGATTAATGATAAAAAACTGCGATGTGAAGTACGTCAAATTGATATGCATCAATCCAACATCTCAATAAAATTCAAACAATAAATTGATCTCGTTTTAAAAAAAGACAGATGTGAATTACAACGGTACACCACCCGGAAGTTGCAATCCTTTGTGATACGCCATAGAATAATGTATTTATACGTGCATTACAAGTGCATCAATGTTCAACTAAATCAGTTACAGAAATCAATGGCAAATACATGTTGATTCTCATTTTATCTAATGTTTTCCCAGACATTATTATGTGGTTGTGAGTAAAATAAATTTACTTGAAAATGATATTGAATTAATATTCTTAATAAAGACCTTGTAGCCGTACAGCTGATGACCGGCATACAACGAGGCAATGGAGTCATGCCAGAACATTTCGATTACGTTTACATTACATAACATTCGACTCATTACAAGTGTAACCACGTCCTCTCTTTAATCTCGATTTACAAAAGATAATATCTGAGTAACATACTGGAATTAATACACACAAATAATGTATATATCAACGCTGCGAAAATCTGGAAAAAAAACGTTACAATCAGAGGATAAAGTTTAATATTATAAATATCATATTTTAATTAAAGCATTCAGAATATGTATAATCAACATTTGTAAGCGGACATTCGTCTTTATTTTCATAATGCATTGAAAAACGCCTATTAACACGTATACATGCACTATTTACGCTATATTCCAGCATGCTACCTGCGCTTTGAAAGCGCAGCAATTGCGACATCGCATATATTACACATACCATACCAACGCCATCCACACCTAGCCAAACACAACCATCTGACCACCGCCAACCATTAACGACCCTGGAATCGGCAAACATAATAACCTTATCACTTACATCCAATTATAACCTACCATCGTGCCCACTTACCCTACACCCGCCATCCACATATACCTACTAACGCCATTCACGCATCCGCTATCTACCAGTCTCACTTTTCCACATTCGAATGGATATACAAGCTATGCTATTGTTTCAGATAGATTATGGTTAAAAAGACATTATTTAACAGCTGTAAACAAAAAGCAAGGCTATCAGTGATATTTACGAAATGACAATGATTGGCTCTATAATTATTTGCTCAATCGGATAAACAGCACGTTGCCTATTGAATATTAATCTATCATGACTGTTGGCTGGAATTGATTCATAAAAAACAAACAACAAATTACTTGGCAGAAATCCTATCAACTTGTGAAGTAAACATACACTAACCTTTGATAATGTCAACCAATGCCTGATATGGATATGCTCTCTAGTGTCAAATTTACAAATCAAATTATTATCAAAGCTTATTTGTTTCCTTTAAACTGTTAGTTTTTGATCTCCGTTGAAATGGGTTGTCGGCTCTCAACCTTATACCACAACAGTATGTCTTTAAATTACTTCGAAAAGGCGAACTTGAAAGAACTGTTCTTCATTCTATCGGAGAAAACTTCGTCAAATTGTTCACTTTGTGCCACTGTCATCATGTTCTTCCAGTCACCAATCTCACCTAAATAGACACAACATAGTCTGTACATTTCACTAAGGTATTTCCATGAACATATTCTTTGAGATACAAGAACTGCTAATCTTCTTATATCTCAAAACGTGTGATTGAAAATTGTATTTGTATTTGAAATCTTTCAGAAATGTCTTTTCCATAACCAAACAACAATTCACTAGTAAGGAAAAGCACTTTCTAATACAAATTTAGAAACAATAAAGTAAGATAACAAATCTTCATCATATTGCTTTTTCGTCCTTCGAAGATTCATTGATGATAATTGACTTTTCAAAATCATGGAGACAACTGAGAAAAACAAAAAATAAAATTGATCAAAAAGAAAATTTTTAAAATCTCAAAAGCTAGATTGGGTTGTGCAATTTACCCCGTAAAATTCAGCTGTCAAGTTTACTTTAGGTACTAAGTGGGATTAAATTGAATTTGAACATTCAAATCAAGTTCTCTAATTACCTTTCCTATAATGTCCCTGCATGAGGGCCTTCTCAAACTTGAAGTCGCCAATATCTTTAACGTCTTCATTCGCCTTTTTCATTCCTTTGAAACTACACATTTCCGCTACTTTTGCTATATACTCATCATCACAATCGGTGCCGAGGAATTCCGAGAGACTTTTTATAGCAGGCACAGGATTCTAAAAAAATTGATATATACAGTCAGTGAAAAATACCCATATCAAATGTAAATTTAATTGTTAAGAGAGTATATGTATATTTTATCTAAAGTGTATGTTTTCCATCGTCTGTAACAAACGAAAACGTTCAATCTTGACCTTTTGTTTGCTCAAGAAAAAGGATCGCCATTGCTAGTCTAACTGGTACAAAAGCAAACAGACATAACTTTGCAGAGTTATCGTACCTTTTTCAATTCTTCATAGTAGATAAGATGCATATCTATTTCCTTATCTTTTAGAGCTTCCTCTGCCTCCAGTGTATAATCAAACCAGTTTACCATCACCCCTATGTCCAATAAAAACATGTATTTAAGAGCAAAAATTAATATTTCAAAGTAATATTACTAGGCCCTCTACTGAATTAAAAAAAAACACCCGAATCACTTATTTAAGTAAAGATTTATGTAAAATGTTTATTTCAGAAGTATCCAGCAAAAGACGTAATGTTTTATTGATTGAAGTCTTTAACTTTTAATTCTTTTAATATTAAATATATCAAAATATTACAAAACAAAACATCACTATTAATACATAAATTGTTTATCAACGATATAGTTTTTTTACTCCATACCTAAAGTTGAAAATACCATCAGAAATTCTTCAAATGTTCCTTGAAAAGGCATCATTTTTGATTTCTGCAGAAAGTAATATGATGAAACAACCACATCCTTCGGGTTTCGTTGGACGAAAATGACCTTAAGCTTTTTCTCTTTAACCTCTTTTGGCAGTAGACGAAGTGGCAGATGTGTATTCAGTGTTCTCCGTGATGGAATTTTATCAAAATCTTCCGGGTAATTGAATTCCATCATGGCTGTCTCCTTTGGACGTGTTAGATATTCAAGCTTTCCAGTTGTCAACATGTTTGTGATTTCCCAGACCCAATGAGTACCTATAAACAACACAAACTTAAATAAAATGTTTTGCAAATTAAAAAAAATTGTTTAAAAAAGAATCTTGAAAGTTGCCGTTACATGGAGAAAGCATCGAAGAAGAAATATGAAGAAAATGAAGAAAAAACGAACAAAGAAAGCAAAGCTTACAAGTCAGCACAGTTTAGAAACTGAGAATGTGTTCGGGCAGCGCAATAATATTCTAATGTTGTCAAAAACATTCAAGCTCTTACAGTTTCAAACACAACATTCTCACCTGATCTCATGTAGGCACAAAGAAAAATATCGTCATCTCGACATTTCATGTCGCGAATCTTTTTAACGTTCTCCCTCATATCTGGGATATGTCCACTTTTGATCGCTTGTACAGGGACAATCATCCCCTCAACTTCCATCACTTCCTTGACATTTCCTTTCATGTCAGGAATTCGAACAATTTCTTCTTCCTTAACTTCACCTGTAAGCGAGATCATCTATTATGTTTTTGCCAGTAAAATATATTTGATGATATCCTTATTTGGGATGGTGTTAAATTCAAAGAAAAATTGACATTTTCTTATTAAATGTTGTCCACGTAACCTTATATCCTTTTTTGCCTGGCAGTAGGACACGTTATTACAATCACAAAGACTATATCTTTATTGTATTTGAAAGTATTTTACTGAGGTGTTACTCATTTGTGTAACGAAACTATGATGAAACCTTTACAGTCTTCACTTACCTGGCGTGTATCGTGGTTTAAAGTCTGCCATTTTGCTTCCAAATGTTGTCTGTAATATGATTAACCATGTAAACGTTACCCTCCAACAGTTTTAAGTACCATTATCATTTTAGATAGAATATGTCATTTATCTAGTCCATTTAACATAACTTTATTTTTTATGCTATTGTTACGTGGTCTTTTATTTTGAGATAAGGTTTTCGGGTAGGAACTGATCCATGAGAGCAGCTCTATAAGGATAAGTAATCTGATATATAAAAGTGTAGATATATAACCATTTACATGGTTACATCGCATTATATCATTATTATCACATGTTCATAGATGATTTGATTTAAGAGACTCTCTAACTGTGTAAGAAGAACTCCTGTTAATCTCTACTCTAAATAAGCCAGGATATTTTCCCATAAATTACACTACATGTTCATCAGTAAGTAAAATGCAAATATAATGTATAGTATTTCAGTCATCTGTTTAATCATAGTCGTCAGGAAATGTTGTAGACTGATTTATTGGTAACGTGGATATCATGTCGTTATCACTGTTCTGAATACTGAACCCATTTCGTTAAAAGCTTAATAGATATTTTTTCTACACTGTGATTTAACTGATTCTTTTTTTTAAGTGTATATTTATGAAATATTCAAAGGAAAAACATAGCAATTAAAAATGCGTATTTTCTACTCGCAATATTCGAAAAAATATTCTGATTTCCATCATAACACTGTATATATTTCAGAACAGTTCAGCATTCACTACAAAGATCACAAATGAATCCACGATTTTAGAGTAGAGAAATTGCTTATAATTAACTATAAATATCTGAAGATTGTCGTTGAATACGAAAAAAGCATACGTTTTAGTGTTAGGTTGATCTGAACTTACCTTGTACCGAAGTCCCTCGCTGAAATTCACATATAGAATGGAGTTCTGGTATCATTCAGCTAGGTTATGTCAACAGACGACGATATCATACGGGGACGGGACATGTGAGCTGATACGATATGTGATTTTGATTGGCAGTGATTATGTGTAAGTACACGTGTCTAACTGTAATACGACACATTACGTAACACTCCCAACGGTAAGGTTGAAAATATGTGTTTGCAGCCCGATATATATTTGTCCATTATGTCAACATATAATTAATACTCTTTGTAAAGTTAAGATCATTACTACGTTCATGTAGGAATGATTTTCGTACAAAGATGGAGGTTAATTATGGACAGTCTCGAATCTGTGTCTACATATCAAAAACTAGTTTTGCAGGAAGTAGGATACATTATGTATCAAGCTTCAGGTCGACACATACGTATTGTAAGTTCACATAACCCAGTTAAATGATACCAGAATACTACCTATAATAATACATTGCAGCGATACTAATGGCAACAAGGTGGGTGCATGGAGACAAGATCACACCAAACTAGCATGGAACGTGCATTTTGTGGTATACAATGTGATTATTTTTGTTTTATAGGGTTCGTATTTTTCCCCATCATGATTTTGACAATTATCTGTAACTTAAGATTTTCCACATTTGCATCCTATGTTAATAAAAATAGGCCCTTAAAATCACTGACAAATTTTAAAAGAACGAAATAGCTGTATGATGCATTTTGAATTGATTATTATACTTTTAAGCCTTTTGAAGGTGTGAATAAGGACAGTTCTGATTGATTGATTGATTGATTCCATTCTGCCTGGGAGTATAATTTGCGGCTGCATCAGTGGAACAACAAAAACAACAAATAGAAAAGGCCATTTGCGGTGATCATTATGATTAAGTTTGAGCCCAGCTTTGTAAGATTTATCATTTTAATTGTATGCAAAGTCACGGTGTATTGCACTGCCGCTCAAACAGGGTGACAGGCTAGTATACTCTGTGTTGATACAGAATGTACCGGAGGTTTGTATTACTCTGTTACAGCAGAAGGGTGATTCGGTTACCGTAGTGTGTCGAGGAAGAGACATGAAGGTGACAATGAAACAGTGTCACGGTAAAAGAGGGCTGTTGATATCGTGATACTGTGTTTATATTGTGTTGAGCATTCTTAGATTGATCAGCGATATTTATCGGGGGTTAATTGAGGTAATTTTCGTATAATCAGATAGACCCGCATTATTCTGCGTTTATTGTTGGCAATATTTAACCTTTACTACTAGATAGAATAAATTGTGTTACTCATTTGTGTGTATAGTATACAAGTCTTTAGATATTGTAAATTTTGAAGTAAATGACGAACTCTCTATAAATGTATAATGCATGTAAAACATCTATCGTGTAATGCGGAAATTAGTATGATAGGTAAATCATTTGAATTTCACATGTAAAGACTTGACAAACATTTGTGAAATCTTGTTGTAGAAAAACAAAACAATATCGGTACTCCGAATTCAATACACCTTCACGTGCATATTACACACTTCGGCAACAAATATATCAACGGTATTGCCTGACGAGTTAGATTGAACAGAGGAACAAAATGTTCTGTTTTATATTTACATTTTACTCTTCTGATGAACTTGCATGTGTAGCCAAAGGAAAGACCTCTTATTTCTTCCCGAGTAGAGAAAGAGAAATTTCAGAGCAACCCACCCCCATCTCCCATTCCCCATACCGCACCTCACCCCCATCCCCCACCCGATCTCCCATCCCCATCCCCACTATTAATGTTCTCTATACCCAGTAAAAATAGTTTTTTTATCAAATGAGCTATGTTCAATCATAAGTGACGTTTATATGGAAACCGTTATATATTTTGATACAGGATTGATATAAATTAAACTTTAAATTGTACAAGAGTAATGTTGGCATGGTTAATCATGTACAAGTAAACTTTTACAGGAAAATGGAACAAGTCAAACCAAGATTCACACCAGGTAAGTGAAGACTGTAATGATGTAGATACTGTATGTCCGTTTCATATGATGATATATTGAATCTCAAATGAGTTTTCATTTCATGTAACATTTTATGAAACGACTTTTAATTTTTATGTGATATGGCGAGCGTTGATTATACCCTCAAGACGAATTTCATAAAGTATCTTATAAGATACAATGTTCTTTATTACCACATCACTAGGTTAAGTTACATCTTAACAGTTATGATATGGCGGACAAAATCAAACGGAGGCAGCCATTTTGTTGCGTTAGTTTCTAGTTTATGACTTCTCTTTCATTGGTGGGATATAAGCAAAAATATACAAGAGTGCATTCATTGGATAATAGGCGGAAAAAAGATTCCAAACGCAATAATAACAAGTATCACTTCGTTCATTATTCTCAGAGTGCTTTAACGGTACGCTTTACAACAGGTCGATGTCATTTTGAATGGACCGCTTAACGTAGTAACTGATTTCAGAAATGTAATATACCAAATTCGAAAAAAAACTGATAAATATACACGAGGTAAATTTGAAGTGATGATATCAGTATTACGAAATTGACATTTCATCCTATTTCAAAGATAAAAATGTTTTAAATTCTCATATTTCACCGACAAATAAATATTTTTTTTCATTAACAGGTGAAGTTAAGAAGGAAGATATCGTCCTAATTCCTGACCTGAAAGGAAATATCCAGGAAGTGGTGAACGTTGAGGGTATGGTTGTCCCTGTAGAGATAATCACATGTGGACACGTTCCAGATATGAGAGAAATTGTGAAAAAAATCCGCGATATGAAATGTCGGGATGACGATATTTTTCTATGTTCTTACATGAGGTCAGGTGAGTATTTAGTGACATTACTCATATAAGGATGTATTCCTGTATGAAGTAAAAAAATAATTCTGTATTGTACTTTTGTTATGATAATGATTTTTGACAGGTAGCATTTTAGAAAGTTATTTTAAAACAATAAAAATAAAACAAACAAATAAATCATAATGCTGCTATACTTCATTTTAATTCAGAAAATGTGTAAAATGTTTTCAAAATTAGATTTTAGTCTTTCTTGAAAAGGAATGATATTTCGATATCATAACAAAACAGTGTAAAAATGCTAACTTGTCAATTGATTTGACGAGTTTAAAACCCCATAGCGACCAAAACATGAAGTAAAAAAGACTTAAACTCTTTATTAGACCGTCTTCTAGTATTCAATATTTTAAAACTTTAAGCTTGGAAAGAGAAATTGCCAAAGATATATATCAAAGATACTTTTAAGCTTATAGGTACCACTATGAAAAAAAAACCTAATCTCATTACGTTTGAACTCAGTCTGTGTTGAATTATGTTTTACTTGGGGTCAATAAAACAACAGAGGAGTTTATCTTCAAGTGACATGTTGTCATAGTTTTAAAAGTACAAATTAAAAATTATTGCCTTTTCCTTTCATTGACATTTTATTGTAATTTGTGTTGTTTATAGGTACTCACTGGGTCTGGGAAATAACGAACATGTTGACAACTGGAAAGCTTGAATATCTCACACGTCCAAAGTAGACAGCTATGTTGGAAGTAAATAACCCGTAAGAATTTGACGAAATTCCATCACGGAGAACACTGAATACACATTTTCCATTTCATCTTCTGCCAAAAGAGGTTAAAGAGAAAAAAACTTAAGGTCATTTTTGTCCAACGAAACCCGAAGGATGTGGTTGTTTCATCATATTACTTTCTACAGAAATCATTAGTAAGGCCATTTGAAGGAACATTTGAAGACTTCTTTATGATGTTTACAACTTTTAGGTACGGGACAGAAAAGCAGATATACTTTGAATAACTAATACTTACTGTTTACGGTTCTCAATGATTGTTTTATTAACCAAGGGTTATAGACATTAATCACTAAATCATTACATCTGTTGCCGGATACTTTTTTTTATTCATATATACAGTAGGCTTTAGCAGGAGACTTATGACGTATTTATCACTTATGAAAGACTCTGCTCCACGAGTTCCACGTTTACCTTGCGCCCACGTATGTCTTTGTGATGGTTACTAAAACAATTTATGATATACAGATATATTTAAAGTTCTTTTTAAATTGTTAAAAGGTTGAAAATTGACGACATAGATTTAGAT